GTTTACAATTGAATATATGAAAACATTGTATTATTACTTTTACATAAATGTATCCCCAAAGTACATGTTAAAGGTGCACTGTGTAACTTTTTGGTGGGTCCGTCATCTTATTGTTTTTATGGATATGTAATTGCTCTGCTTAGACTGTTCCACAATGTCAGTTTAAACACATCTACCTTTCATTCACTCAATTACAGGTGGTTTTATAGCTCAAAAGTACCTAGAAAAACAACATTCTGACTGTGAGCGGGGCTGCCTAACCAGTAATTTGGCCTGGTTTGTTTTCCGTGATGATAGAAAGATTTAATGCCATGCTGTGAAAAATTCTAGACATATTTAATCCTTGTTTGTTTGCTATAACATTGGCTTACGGATGTCACTCTAAACTCAAAGTTAGCAGTGGTAATTGGTCTGCATGTCAAAGTAATAGACATAACATAGTTCCGTTTACAAACTCTGCTAACTCTTGTTCCACTGATTCAAACTCTCCTTTTATAGTATTCTCAGTGGAGTGGATAGGAATAATGACCCTTTAAAGGAAAGATAAAAATGTGTGTTTTCATTTGCGCACAGTGCACTCCACTTACTTCACAAGAGCGTTTAAATAGTTGTGGAAATGAGCAGTCCTCCACCCGGCTCTTGGTGACATTTCCAGACACAATCACTATGTTAAACACGCACGCCAGGAAATTTAGATAAAAAATAACTAGTCCAATTAAAGCGCTTATATTATGCTGTCTTCTGATCTATGTTATAATGTTTCCTCATCAAAAATGTACCTGGAGGTTTTGTTTCATTTATATGTTTAGCACACAAATTCTGCATATTTTGGCTGAATTCTTCTTGTGATGTCATGTGGCAATACAGGAAATGCTCCACTTTCTTTTAAAGCTCCAAACACCTTCACTAGAATCATTTGGATGATTTCAACCCTGGAACTGCAGTGTCTACTCAACTAAAAGTAAAAGAGAGACTTGAAAACTACCACTACATGACATCACAGAGTGGAACAAAGTCTTTTGAGCTTTGGAGATATAGAGAGATTAATAATAAATGGTTACCCAAAAATGTTTGAATGAAACAACAACTCCGGATATGTTTTTGGTGAGTTAACAGCATTTTAACATGGCCTAAAGCTCACAAGAGTCAAAATTTGCGTAATAACCAGATTTTTTGAAATGCAACTGAAGTCCGTGAGCGATGATAGTTGTGTCATGGTCTGAATGTCCCAGTCCCAATAACACATCTGGAGAATGAGTCCCCAGATACCCGCTGCATGTGACAATGCAGTCTGATTTACATTAGGCACAGAATATGAGAGACTTTCAACTGCATGACGTAAGAAACAGCCCGGCAAATATTAGACATGTGTTTAGACGTGTACTCACCCATTTCAGATAAGCAGCGATGACAAATGGCCCCTCTGCAGCGGACTAGCACATGTTTATCCATTGTTTTGGTTTCTGCTACGTCAAAGTGAAAGTAAAAACTAACAGAGCTCCAGTTTGCTTATTTGTGCTTCGTAGAGCAAATAACTTGTGAGTTGCGCATTTCCTAACATGTTTGAACATCATTTGCTCAGAGTATGAGAGATGTCACTTATCCGTGTCTGCCAAAAGTGTGGTTATATGTAGGGATGCACCAATTAGGCATGGGACGATATTGAAATTTGGTGTCATGAGAGAAAATTTATGATTAACGTTTGTGTCGCAATAATTATTAAAGTTGCTGACAGTGTAAAAATGTTATGGATATGAATAATTATAATTTTAATATTATGAATAAGTTCCATGTTTAAACAACTTTTATATAACTGTACTGCGAAAACAACTACGATCTAGAGAAGGTCATGATGCATAAGTAGCTTTTTTCTACACATTTTTGTGATTTATGGCGATTAACTGTGTTGGTGACTGTTATATAAAATGTCCTACGAATGATTACTGCCTTCCCTTTTTATCACGATATTATTGTTTATCGTCCCATCTCTAGCACCGATACCATACTGGTGTCGGATATCAGCTCTCATATTGAAAATTTTGATGCAGCAGATATCGGTTCAGTCGATTTAGGGCTATAAATTTTTGTAATAGGTGCGTTACTTGACAAACACCTTGGAATATTTTTCAAAGTTGCTGCATTTGGATATTTATTTATTGTCTGTTAAATTGAAATAAATCATAGTTTTACTTTATTTAGTCTCTGTTCTAGTATCAGTTGGTATCGAGGATCAACAGAGGTTTAAAGCCAAAGTATCGGCATTGGTATCGGAACAGAAAATCTGGCTCATATTGCATGTGTAATAGTTTTAGGTGCAATGTAATGTTCTCACCTATTCGGATCTTGGACGTGCTTGTAGACTGGAAGAAGATGATTTGAATTTTCCTGTTGTTTAGTGCTTGTGGATGTAAACAGAGTGATTGTTCCACATCGTAAGCTCTGTTTCTTTGTATGCCTGGCACAGCTGTTGCTCCACACCAGACCTGATCACCTTTGGTTCACAGCATGACTCAAAGATCTGCGTCCGTGTGTTATTATGTTACACATTCGGCAAACAGACGTTTCGCAAACGGGCTATCGATTGTGTCATGAGCAGAAGATTAGCCGCTAGCACACAGAAAAGTTCAGGGCCTGTTTAAAAATAGTACCCAGTCTAACTTTGCAGAAGCAGAGGTGGAAAGGAGCTAGGTACTTTAATTTAATTATTTAAAATTGTCTAGAAACTGAAATGTGCAGTTTAGAAAGGAGACATAAATCAACTTCTGTGAGCTTTCGACAGCGTTCCCTCATGGTTAGCTTGCTCAGAGTTGTATGTAGATTGATTTATGCATGTTTAATTAATCCTCTATTGTCCTGCAATTGAGGCTTGAGTGCTTGAAAATTTGAGTTTGCACCTACCTCCTATACCCACCCACTTCCCTATACTAATTAGCATTTATTCAAAATAATTAGACTCTAGATCACACATGTAGGGTTAAAAAAATGTTGCATAGCCACTTTTAAAAAAACAAAAACACAAATGAAAACACCTTCCAAGCTACAGTGAAATTGAAAGCCACTATTAAAAGTTAATAATACTTATCTACATTAAAACTTAATGTAGAACTTATCAGTTCTACATTTTTTAACTGGAAGTCAATGATCCAATCTTGATTTTAGATCAATTCAATGATTTATGTTTATTAAATACTTGAAAAAAGCATAACATGTGATAAAAGTATTACTATAGTAGCATTTTAAGTAGTATTAGTTCTGTACTTTTTCTTATTGTGGTAGTGTTAACAGCACACAGTCTATTATTTTTAAGTATTTAGATAACAGATATTTTCTCTTTCTGCTGCATTTACTTTAAGAACATAACATTCTTAAATCTAACCTTTCCTCTCACTTACTCTGTGCCAATTTAAAGAGTTTATCTACAAATTGGAACTCCCCAAAAACAACGACTCTAATCTGGCATAGTAAGTATAAGACAATATTGAAATGATAGGGGACAAATTGAAAAGATTGGTGGGGACTATTTTTCTTTGCGGAGGTGGAGGCAGACAGAAAGCAGGTGGATGTTTAGACAGAATGATAAAAAGTGCCCTGGTTGACAGAACACCTGATAAGCTGCCGGACTGACAGGTTTGGCTGGTAGTGAGGCAAAAGGGAGCCGGGCGTTGGGCAAGCACGCTGTAAGCAGTGAAGCAGATAGGTTAAAGGCAATAAAGATACAGAGAAAGAGCCTAATTTAAGAGGTGAACCCCGCTATTAAAATTCAGAAAGCAAGACGAACTCTGACTGTTGTGTGAAGTGGAGCGTGGATAGTTTTAAAATATGCCGGCCTAATTTACTGGGCTGCCTAAACAGTCCTGTAGGAGTAGCTAACTTGCTGAGTTAAAGCCTTAGGTTCCTTACAAGAGAAGTATATTTATCTAAAAAATATAATCATTATTTTGTTAATATTATTTAGTTGTATTTTATTTGTTAACGAATTTTCTGAGCCAGACACAGAGGTAAAATGTCTTCATGAAGGACAGTGCTATTTCTATAATACTTTGAGTAATCGGAAAATCAAGTTAAAGCCCCCACCATTTGCCAGGCTGGCGCCACCTAGTGCCTCTGCTCAATTTCATTTCTCTCCAGTGACTAGGTCAGGAATCAAAATACACTAGACAGTTCGCAAAAAGTGCAAGTTAGGGCACCAGCCAATCAGCGAAGAGCCATATATTCAGTGTTGTCAACGATTCCCGAGATCGAGGATTTAAAGCTGGAACAAAGAGAATGGTTGGTGAACTTCATCAAGGGGAAAAACATTATTGTCCTTCTTCCTACGGGATTTGGGAAAAGCTTTATATACCAGTTAGCCCTGTTAGCGGCACATTACATATGTGACTACCAAATAGCAGCGATTGGTTAAATGATAAAAAGTACCTGCCTACCGTCGAGCAAACGAACACTGCGAGGTCAGACAGTTTCTAAGAAGTGAAACCGACTGATGAATCAGGCTACCCCACCACATACTTTTCATTAAATATAAATAGGCTGGATTTAAACATTTTCGAAAAAGGCATCTTTACTGTGATTGGGCTTGCAGCTCCACAAACCTGTTTCGTACTTGGATTGGAGGAGACCTGTTTTCCCTGCTTGTCACCAAGGAAATATTGTGCCTTTGGCTATAAAATTCCAGAGTATAGCATAAATCCTGTCTCCATAAAGAATGTTTTGAAGTATGGTTTCTAATTCCATAGGATTACTTTTTATACCTGAATTATGTTGCTATGTTTTTCAGTTGTACATGGATTGCATATGGATGTTGTTATAGACAATTTTCCAAAGGCAGGACCTAAAAACAAATTCTGCCACTTGTAGGTTGTAGTTTATTCAGCATGTCCATAAAGTCAATGGGGGAACAAATTCAGGCATCTATTTCCCATCAGCATTCCCCCACACTTTAACAGTATTTAAGCCAACAAGACTTTTAATCACCTCATCTGTCTCCCTCTGTCTCGTCACAGGTAAACCGCAGACGGTGGAGAGCTCGGAGCGCGTCCAACTGTCTGGCACATACAACGTGCGCAAAGGGAAGCTCCAGCTGCCCGTGAACCGCTGGACCAGGCGACAGGTCATCTTATGTGGCACCTGTCTCATAGTCTCCTCTGTGAAGGAGAGCCAGGCGGGCAAGATGCACGTCCTGCCACTCATTGGAGGGAAGGTACGTGTGACTCACCCAGCTCAAACCAGAACTGAATCCCAAACAGCTATTTTTATGGTGGGGTGATTTATGATTTCAGCAGTAAATCTCCAATGTTGAAGTCCCTCTTATCATCGCCCACAAATGCCCTAAATTGTAAAACTCGTCCTTTTCACCTTGATGAACTGTTTGTCCTTTGTTGTGAATTTTCGCCCAAGGTGAGACAGAAATAGTAGCTGTAGCCTGGATTGGGGCATTCAATGTTATTTCAAGGCACAGCTCACACTATTCTACAAATGTACTCCACACATTTAAGATTTTATTCAGTTTGGCTTTCAATTTGAACACATTTTTAATTATTTGACCACAACTACTCCTATTAAAGGGCCTATATTATGCTATTTTCTCGTCTTGGTTATAATGTTGTTTCTTCACAAAAACAAACCAGGAGTTGAGCACATGTCTGAGTAACCCTTGATTATTAGTCTGTCTACATCTCCAAAGCTCAAATTCTCTGTTCTACCTTTTGATGTCAGTAGTTTTCAAAAGGTAGCTACCTCTTAACTTTTGCGCAGTAGGGGGAGGTAATTCCAGGTCTGAAATCATCCAAATGATTCTAGTGAAGGTGTGTGCAGTTTAAAAACACAGTGGAGCACTTTCTGTATTATCACATGACATCACAAGGTTGAACACACTGTTTTCAGCTTGAGACTCAAACTCAGTCTAAATATGCAGCATTTGTTTGTTAAACACGTGTGAATGAAACAAAACACAATTCCCGGTTTGTTTTTTGTGAGGAAACAACATTATAACATAGATAAGAAAATAGCGTAATATGGCCGCTTTAATCTACAATTTCAAAACATGTCCGCCAGTCTGTCGGTCTGTCTGCTGTTATGCTATTGAGTCCTGAGAATTGACCTTTACCTGTTTATTGCTTTATGGATCCATCTATCTGCCAAGGCCACTAAATAATCTCTGAGGGCTCTCGTTTAAAGCCCTCACTATTATTTGCCTCTCACAATTGACACTCCATTTCCCACCACTCCCTCTTGTCCAGCGCTGTATTCTGTCCATGTGGCCCTGAGTGAACTATGCATCCATGTAGGCTTGAATATGTTTTATTTGAATACTATTACTGACTAGTGTAGACTCAATACTCAATACTAGAGCTGGAAATCACAAGGTCCCTCATGATTTGATACCAGGGATGTAACAGTAACCGAAATATCGTGATATTGTAACGTCGAAAGTCTCACAATAATATCGTTGGCTGTCACAATATATTGAATTACAAGTTCCTTTGCTTAAATGCATGGTTTAATAGTAGTAACAGCTTATGAACATCAGAAACTACATATCCCATGATTCATTTCAGTGCAGACAACATGAAGATATCTGTTTTATACTTGAATTCTTGGGATTATTATGGAAATATTTCACAACAAAATCTTGTTAAGGTTTTAAAAGCAAAAAAAGTGTCCCATCTACAATTACATTAGCCTCTTCAAAATATTGCAATAAATATTGTACCGTGAGATGCATATCGTGATAACATTGTACCGTGAGAATTGGATATCTTTAAATTCCTATTCAATACACGATACATGGTTCATGAAACGATATTATTGCATACGATACTCTGTGATATACAGCTGTTTTTTTAAGAAGCAGAATACATTTTATCAACATATTACTTTGTATATTACTTTGTTAAACAACCACTTGTGCAGCATTAATATGAAATACATCTATTTTAATCATCAAAACTGAATTTGTCTAGTGTATTGCATAAATAAGCAACAACATTGTCGTGTAGTCATGATAACTATACTGTATCACCAAATTTTGTATTGCGATTTATCGATATTTTTATATTTTTGCACACTCCTCTATACCAGGATGATGATGAAAAAAGCACTCTTTCTATAGTCAATAGAATGTGATATTCAGCATTAAATCACAGTACTTTTATATTACCATGTGACCTTTCATCTGTGTAATCCTTCATTCAATCGTTCCATAGTGGTCCATGGGCATATACTAGTCTATGTGCTCTTATACTTGTTCTGATACAGCTGGGGATCACTCTAAAGCTATTCAGAAAAGGTTCATTTCTCAATACCTGCTCAAATGAGTATCTAGTTTCGATACTAGTTTCAGAATCGATTCGTATCTGACCATGCACCCTTACAACTAACCATCTGTTCATTTGCCATGTTTCCCATAGTATGTCCACTTCTCCATATTGAATACACTTTTTAATGTGTGTCTGTGTGTGTAATTTATTTTCACGATTCTTCTGGTTGGATGCACATAGTTTTGGGCCCTGCAGCTAGCATGAGACATTTTTAAATCCATCATATTGATAACATAGTTTGTATAAGATGTTCATTTCATAAATCACACAGCATAAGGCTGAACTGTGAGCTACATTTGTCTTGCTAACATCATGCTAACTCAGCATCGTGTCAGCGGGGTAAAGTTCTAAAATAAATCAATATACAACGCATGATACGTTTTATTACATGTTGTCGGAATGGGAGATAGTTATTGAAGGTGGGAGGTGTTAAGGCTGTGCAATTACTCAAATTTCAATTAAAAAAAAGGTTTTGAAGATATGGGCTATGTAGCTACCAGTAGCTTCTAAAACATTAAAGGGGCTGGACCCATTTTTCATATAAAAGAAAGTTAAATTTATCTTGCCCCAGTACAGATATATTGTAAAATCTTAAGAGTTAAAATGAGCTGTCTGCATCTGACTAAAACATGCTGTATCCTCCATGAACCATGAAGTACGCTGGTAGCATGCTAGTTGTTGTTAGCATTATTATGGTGGCCTTTGAAAGTTGTGAAAAGTGCTCTTAAACTCATCATGGTGAATAATTAGGATGCTAGGAAAGTGAGGAATAGCATACATTTGCAAAAAAAAGAAAAATTAACCAGTTTGTTGATCACATTTTTAAATCGTGTATAGCTCTGTTAATAATAAATGCCTAACTTTTTAACAGTACCTAAATATTTATAACTACAATTTTTACTCTATCCTTAAGAGTATGATGTGCAGTACCACACTGCAAAAGCTATGTTTCATTAGTTTCAGTAGGTCACGCACATGCCATACACTCATGCATGCTTTAAGATGTTTCATGCTTTTGGTTGACTGGGTCTGTTTACCCTGTAGCTACTATTGAGACATCCATGTGTCTACTGTTTTTTGTTTCTCAGCTCAAGTTTTCCTCGGAGTGCTCCGGAGATGCTACATTTCATGCTCCGATGTGTATACTTATGTTTGTGTGGGGGTGGGTATACACTCAATGTATGGGGATCTGCCGGTTTTATTAGGACAACGATTAGGTTCACATGAAGTAAATGTTTTGTTTTTAGATCACATGAGGTTGAACATTAATATAGGACAGAATATAAGAATCCCAAAATGCATTAAATTATTGGAATCAGAACTGCAATGTACTACATTACAAATAAACCCAGGTTGCCAGTGCCTTAGAGAACACATCCACGTTTTTCTCATTCTCAGTAAATGGAGCACATACTGCAGCACCAGAGGCTGAACCAGCACTGATTAATGACTGACTGTAGGGGTTTAGGTAGTGAGTATTCAGATCAGAGAGAGTTTGTTTAGGTTTTTTTTTTTTAACCAACTGGATTTCATTTTGGAAACTGGCAACCAAAATGACAGACTTGTGTAAGACTTATTCTACTTTCTGATTGGATAATTGTCTCAAGAACCTAAACATCAAATAACAACATTAATAACTCGTGTCCAATGTTTTTGTAATTAAGAATAAATCAGCATTATCTGTAGAAACCATGTATATTTGTTTTGAGCATGTCTACCTTGTATCTGGAGACACAAATAGGTCATGTTGTGAAATTTACAATCAAAATCTTACGTACTGTTCCTACTCAGGTTAGGATCTGTCTCCAGGAAATTAATGTATAGCAATGTAATGTCCTCAAAAAAAAAACAAAAACTTGTGTGTTTGTGCCTGCAGGTGGAGGAAGTGAAGAAGCACAGCCACTGCTTAGCCTTCAGCTCGGCCGGTCCCCAGAGTCAGACCTACTACGTTAGCTTCGACAGCTTCACGGAGCACCTGCGCTGGCACCGCCATGCAGCCAAGGTATTGTGTGTACAGGATAAGAGTAGACATACGCTCCCCATGCTCCACTCACGGGTCAGCTGCATTGTACATCCAAACATGCATGACTGCCACTAGAAAAAATATGTGCAAATGAATGGAATTTTACAGTTCTTCACTACATTCTAAAGAGCTAATTGTTTTAAAGGGCCCATATTTCTGATCTATGTTATAATATTTTTTCCTCATGAAATACATGCCAGGAATTATGTTTTGTTTCATTCACACAATTGCATATTTAGAAACTACATATCCCATGATTCATTTCAGTGCAGACAACATAAAGATATATAAGCAAAAAAGTGTCCCATCTACAATTATATTAGCCTCTTCAAAATATCGCAATAAATATAGTACCGTGACATATCATGATAATATTGTACTATGAAAATTAGATATCATTACATCCCTATTCGATACACGATACATGGGTCATGATATGATATTATCATGATACATGCGATACATGCGATAATCAGTATATTGCACACTATGATACTCTGTGATTTACTGCTGTTTTTTTAAGAATCAGAATACATTTTGGCAACAATATTTCTTTGTTAAACCACCACTTGTGCAAAGTTAATATGAAATACATGCATTTTAATAATCAAAACTGAATTTGTCAAGTGTATTGCATAAATAAGCAACAAAATTGTCGTGTAGTCATGATAACCATACTGTATCACCAAATTTTTCTATCACAATAGATCGCTGTGTTGATATTTTTGCACATTCCTACTCGATACCAGGATGATTAAAAAAAAAAAAAAATCCATAAACTCTTTCTTTAGTTAATAGAATGTAATTTTCAGCATTAAATCATAATACTTTTATATTATATTTAGACCAAGTTCTTCTCTCAGGCTGAAAACATTGCTCCACCTTCTGATGTCTAGTGGTAATACAGGAAGTGCTCCACTTTGCCAATCCCTACTGTATTAAAGGTAAAAGGAGCTGTTAACTTGAAAACTACCACCTCATGACATCACAAGGTTGAATAGAGCATTGTAGACTAATAACTTGTGATTACTCTAACATGTGTGAATGAAACAAAACACAACTCCAGGTATATTTATGATGATGCAACAGTATTATGACATGACTGAAGGCTCACAAGAATCCATTTTGTGCAACGTAGGACTTTTAAATTGAGCAGGGTGTGAGGTCAGAAAAATGTTGTTAAGATGACAAATAATGCAGATAATATAACCTGCTTTATATTTAACATGAATGTAAATTCTGGGTCAGTCTACATGAATCAAAATCTTGCACACGTTTAGAGAGGCACTATGTAACTTGTGTACTTATTTTCATGAAGTTTATTTCTTTGCCTGCAATGTTCCTCAGTATGACATTTAACTTATATACTTAAGCAGGTGATAATTACAGTTTGGAAGATCATAGTAAGAAGGCATGTTTTTTCAAGATTCAAGAGGTTAATGCCGCATTATGGAATATTCTAGGCAGAGAAACAATTATTCTCATCGAGAAAAACTGGTGCAGACCCTCCACCAGCCAGAAATGAAAAATGCAATTGTTGTTAGTTAAAAGGACTTTAAGCCGTAAGATTCATATTGGCAACATTTGTGGATTTTCTGATGGGTCATTTATTTCAAACAAATGTCCATAGAATTATAGACTACCCCCTCACCTCACATTTCTAGAACACAACCGATTTGCTGACAGGACAGAAAATTGTGTTGTGGTTCACTTTGTTGTTAAAAACCCCCACAGCAAAGACTTGACTCTCTCCTTTCTGTTGAAGTAGGCCATAGCCAGAAAACCTCCTTTCTAAATATTAACAGGGACGCGCATGTCACTGGCACCCAGAGGGCCCCTCAGAATAGCAGGCTGTGTAGAGCCAGCACGTGCCCTGGTGCAGCCCTCAGCCTCTCCCTGACACTACCACTTAATGTCTACTAGTATACACGAGACGGGCAGAGAAGACAGCCACTTTTACTGGCCACTTCTGCATGTTTAAAGGGCCCGTATTACACTATTTTCTGATCTATGCTCTAATGTTATGTTCTCATCACAAACATACCTGGGGTTGTGTTTTGTTTCATTCACACATGTTTAACATACAAACCCTGCAGATTTAGGCTGAGTTCTTTTCATTCTGTTCCACCTTATCATGGCATGTGGTAATACAAGAAGTGCTTCCCTGTATTTTTAAACTCCATGCAACTTCACTAGAATCCTTTGGATGATTTTAGCCCTGCTCATCTCTACTGAACAAAAGGTAAGTGGTAGCTGTCCACTTGAAAACTACCATATCATGACATCACAAGGTGGAACAGAGCATTTTGAGCTTTGGAGATGTAGACAGACTAAAAAAAAAGGGTTACTCAAACATGTGAATGAAATAAAACCCAACTCCAGGTATGTTTTTGAGGAGGTAACAACATTCTACCATAGCTTACAGCTCACAAGACTCAATTTAGCACAACTTTAACAGTTGACACAAGTTTTTAAGTTTTTCTACAATTTTATTTAGTACATTTTGCTATCTTTTAAAATCTGATTAAGTCCAGGTTTAGTCTTGGGCTAATCCTGCTTGTATTAAGAAAGTCAAATATATTTGGATGTGGTAATTGTTGTGATTAGTTTGAGAACTACTGTCATACAATGTTCAATTTGATGGTATTCAGGAAGTTTTAAAAAAAAAGTACATTTGCAAATTACAAATTGCGTTTGTTCTAATCAATAAATTTATCTGATCAGCCCAACACTTTCACTTTCTCAGTAGGTCTTTGATTACCCTTACAGTCCTAGTTCCTAATTTGGCCGTTTTAGTATTAGGGCTTTTATTATTAGATGTTGTTTGATATCTTGGTTGGCAAAGATTGCACTGGATAGACAGATACTTAAAAGTGCACTCTGTAACTTTTCTGATAAAGGGTCAACTTGCTTGTTTGTTGTTTTTTTCCTGAAATGTTCTACAGTATGGCATTTAATTTATCTTTTTCCACAGAGACAAGCAGACCAGCTCACAGGTTACAGGTCCGATCTGTGGAGAAGTGGACCTGTTCACATTAGTAATGCATGTTTTTGCTGTAGTTTGAAAAAGTAAAACACCTATAATTGAGTAAATACAAGATATTTGTCTTTAATGGCATACTGTTGAACATCCTACACAAAGCAAATAACACCACCATTGAGACAATCAGCCAATAGACCCTCCACCTGAAAAGTTACACATTGCACTTGCACAAATGTTAACATTTTGACATTGCATTTGTACAGGAACCTCCCCACCTGTCCACACCTATCACACTGTAGTGTTTAACTGGGATGCACCACTCGAGTGCAACTTTCCTCTGCCTCTGTAATCCTAAGAAGATTGGCCATTACCTGACATTTGACCCTTTAGTGGCAGGCTGCACACAAAAGCAGCTAAGCCCCCCGCGCTGCAGATAATCCCGTTTAAAGCCACGCTCTCTTTGTCTTTGCTGTCACCTCACACTCGGCTCATTTTCTCTTATCCTCTGTGCTTCTTCATTTAGATGGTGTCCCAGAGGATCAACTCGGTGGATCTGTCCTGCTGCAGCCTGGAGCAGCTCCCTCCCAATCTGTTCTACAGCCACGACCTGACGCACCTCAACCTCAAACACAACTTCCTGCCCTCAGACCAGAGGCTTCAACAGTTACAGAGGTACACTGACCGCACTCTGAGTTCATAACATTGACCGTATAAAGAAGTGGACTAAGGGACTGCGACATCTCTCATAATGTTCGGCTCCAAATGAAGCTCACAAGGATAGCAGCTGTAGGAGTGAGTTTGGAGCCAAATTCTACATTTGGAACAGGAATTTATTTACGAATAAATAGTAAAATAAAAACTGGAGCATTAGAGCATTTTAAGACCAAAATGACTAGGCTCAATGCAGCAGTTACAGAGAGGAGTGACAATTCTTTAATATGTGACGCCAGAGTCAGTGGAACTGGAAGCACGTTCATGCCAACTTCCTTTTTGGAACATGACGGTTACCTGGTTAGCTATGTCCATTTATATATACATTCTATGGTTCATAGAGCATCCACATTTGTCTATGATACAGTTTTGTACAGGTTTGTAAAGGAAACTAAGTAATACCAGGCAGATTAGTACTTGAAATGGAGACCTCCGGGAAAATCAGGTGCCACAGTGGGGTCGCAGTGGCAAAAATTTTTGTTGTGTCTTTACGTAGGACACTTCACCCACATTGGAGAGGCTGATGGCTCAGACTGACAGCCTCTTTTTTGTCAGTCTGCCCCAGCACAGCTGTGGCAGTAGCTTACCGTCACTGAGTATGAAGTGAAATGAATAATGAATAATGAATAATGCATGAAATTGTTAAGCATCTGGGAAAGCGCTATATAAAACAAATGCATTTTTATTATTTACATTTTTAAGACTAGATGCCAACTCAGTAGAGCTGCCAGTAAGTTTGTTGTATTGCAGATGTCTAATGAACAAAATGGCACAGTGTATATGCCTATTATGCAGATATACAGAATATAGCTTAACTATCTAATAAACTATATATTGAAATGCATTTATTCCTAAAGTGAGCCAAGAAATAGTTGCTGTTCAGAAACCAGTCATGTAAAAGTGAAAATTCTGTTTTCTATTGAAACATAAGGGTTTAATTTCAGAAACACACTGTTAAGATGAAAGTGTTTTAGAATTTTACACAATAAATCTATCCAAAACCCCTGAAAAATAATAAAGATGGATTTTTCTGAACACCTGAACCTAATCAGCCAAACACAAAAAGAAAAAGTTTGGGCGAGACAGAACTTGAGCCACTTTACCTCCCCTTTGCCACAATAGAAAAGTTTGGTCTACACAGAATAATAGGCTGGCCAGACACACCGCCTGGTCCTACTGGAAGCAGTGGGTCACGGCTGACTGCTTCGTACCCCATTAGCATTCGTCTGCTCGGGCTCTAAACCTGAGCAGTCTAAGGAGCAGAGTTGCCAAGTTTGCTCCTTTATTTCATCTTTGGGCTTCTTTTTTTGGAAATTCACTTGCAAATTTTGACAGTTGTGGGGGGCGTTTTTTGGAGCTTGTTCTTGAGCGGCACTTACACATCATAAAAGAGATGATTTTATCCTCTTTCCGTCTGTTTTATGAGAATAGACCCAGTAAAGAATGAAATACAGGCTGTTAACATAATGCTTAAGCAGTTTTTTATGTTAAATATGCTATATGTGATGATGGGAACACACAACATATAACAATTGCTTATTTTTTAAACCTATTTTGGTAGAAGGTCACTTGTTTTTTGTTTTTTTCCCAAAGGCTTGATTGCTTGTCACTTTTTGATAATCTGGCAACCCTGCTCGGAAGTGTTCCATTGACACATGCGACCCCCAAGGAGACTAGCCAGATCTGGGCTACGGCAACAACCAAACTAGCCCAGCCAAACTAGCCCGTAGCCCGGCGTGTCTGCGGGGAAGCTTTTAATGTGCCCTGGACAGTCTTGCTCACTCTCCCAATGTGGACGCCATCTGCTCCATGCTTATCACGGTTACAGATTAGAGCCCACAGCCAAGACTCAGGCCTGTGTGTGAGTGTATGTGTGTGTATATGTGTATATATGAGTGTGTGTGTGTGTCTACTGTACTGCTTATATTAGTATTCTGATACACGTGCATGCCTGTCAAAGCTTTTCATCCTGTAGATCATTGCCAGAAAAGCTTCATTGTTAATTGGTTGACTTATAAGGATTTGATACATGTGAAGTGGGTATTTGCAGTTTTGATTGAGTTTTTTCTATACTAGGAGATGCTGGAGGTTACACTCGGTTTGTTAGAGGCCCTGTATCCAGTTCTTCCCAAGTATCTTTGCAATTTGCATTGTATCGTATAAGCAGCTCTTGAGGTTAAACTCAAGAGCTGACGTTAAAGTCAACTGTGTACTGTCCGCATCTAATTAAAAGGCATTTTACTGTACTAGAATCAAGAGGTGCACGGTTAACATGCTAGTTGTTGTTGGCATTACTTTGACAGCAAAACTATTTCTTAGTATCGCAACTGAATTTGAAATTTGAGTACCATGACAACAGTCTACATATGACAGCTCTATATAGGACTACTGCAAAATTGATTTCTCCTTTAAAATGGCTGCACTAGCAAAAATCCTGTAGCTACCATACATTACTAATAGATTTTATGATGTCCTACCAAACGTGGGACTGTATTCTTCTCATATCTAATCCTTGCAATCGAATGATAGCGTTGCTAGGAAGCTGATGTTAGTGAAACAACTCATAATAAATAGCTCCCCCGCTGGTCAGAAGCAGTAACATCCATTTAGCTCTCCAAAAATAAAAAAATAAAAAACAAAGCAGGCTCATCCACTTTTGACCCGGCATATGATGAAAAGAGGTCATTAACGACAAAAGGAGAATTATTGCTGTTAAAAATAGACTTGTTTTGGCTGAAGCGACTCTGCAATTCAACTCCTAGGTCCAACAGAATTGAGTTTTTGTACTGTGCTCTCTATGGTGTCTACATGAATGAGGGTTTTCGCTTGTGTTCTGTATCAACACAGCTTTACTCTGTATTTTCACAAGTTGAAAGGAATGCGTGAACCTGCCACATGCCTCCCCCTGCTTTTTTTTTTGGTCCTTTTTTCTCTTGGGCCAAATAGTAACAGTGGGTGATTTACTAGCCTGATATGCATAATCAGTTGTCTAGGTTACGGGCCTGAAACACAGAGGTTACCAGCAATGGAGAATGGCTTACCCACTAACCATATTGAATCCATTCTGTTTGTTTACACGCATCTGACAGCTGAAGAGATAAATGCATCAACTATCTTGATGACAGGTACTATAGAAAAATAGCAAGTACATATATGCATCTGTGACATTTATAGAAAATTCTGACCATTCATTTACACAGTGTTAGAAGTTAGCCTACCCATATTCCTGGAAGAAACGATTTAGCACTTTCTGCCCTCTAATCGGGCTGTTTAGCTTGTTTTGATCCCTTGTTAGTAACTAGCTAATCCAGAATTTACTCTCCTATTATATGAAGTCATAAGCAGTTTATTTATGTAAGAGTATAGGATCCTAGAAGGAAAACATGCACGCATAAACATTACAAAACATACTATTGTTTTGTTGTTCTACTTTTTAACCAATAAAACGAAATGTGATGGGAGATGGGAGTAGCAATTCTATTGTATTCATAAGAAATATTGATAAAACTAATCATTTATGTTAGTGACATAGCTTAATGTATAGCCCAGGGATGTCTAATTTATGCGTCCAATATTTATTGGCCCGCAGTCTTCTTGCTGAACTGGCCCAAATGAGCAAAAATAATAAGATTATATTATAAAATTGAATTTAAAAACTCTGCTTTGATAACTTAAATGAAACTTGATCACTTAAACATTTTGAGGTGACATGAACGTTCCAGGTCTTATTAATGGTGTGGTAGCTCAGTCAAACTTACGTTAAATACAGCATTAACTTCATTGACCTGCATTTGTGGCCCACACTGTGTTTGGACACACTGTAAATTGGCAATCATTATTTAGGCTTCCCTATCTTAACTAAACACTACAAACCTATAAAATACTTTGATGCCACTTGGGATTTTCGGCCTTCTGTGGTTTAGTCCAGCAATTCTTAACCATAGGCCCGGGGTCCAAAGTAGGGCCAGAACCACCTCCTTGTAAAATATAATGCATTTTATGTGAGATAGGGCCCGAGGCTACTTTATACATAAAACGTCGGGCCCTGAGATTGAAAAGGTTAAGAACCCCTGGTTTAGTTGATGGTGTGTGAGTCATCCAAAATGTGTATTAATCTTCTAAATCATAAATTTAGATTGACAAGTTGAATCTGTTTTTTTTCTGTAATATAAAAACATTATTTCCTAGTTCTTGTTCTGCGTAAATAGTTATTTTTATAGTTTTTAGTCAACAGAGTGTTTGTTTAGTTGTCCACACCCATAATACCACGTGAATCTGAATTATTATTAGTTTTAGCTTTTAACTTCCATTTCGCTTCACAGTTACTAAATACCCTTCAAGGAGCAAAACAATTGACTTGCAAATTAACCCATGTTAGATTAATTACTCCCTCATTAACCTGAATTGCCTGTTAGTGATCGAGTACAAGGTAATGACATGACCAGCGCCCATGACACAGACCAGGAGAGCTCTGCATTACTCAGCAGGTTGTGTTGGCCGGTTTAATGGTAGAACTGACATTTTCCCACACACGCCTCCCCATCCCTCCCTCTCCCCGTCCTGTCTTCTGTACACCGGAGTCACCCTCAGTCGGAATTCGTTAGCCATCCTAATCAATAGCCCTGACGTGTCCCCTGTCCCCTCTTCCATCAGGCTGATATACTGTGCTAGCCGTTAGCCACGCGCTGCACAGTTTAATGGAGCAGATGTGGAGGCTAATGTAGCGTGCTAGCTGCTCTCTTAGCGGATGTGATAGGTGATAGCAGGTTGCATGTCAGTATCCGAGAGTATAAATAAAGATTGTGTCCTTTCCCCCTTGGCTCTGCTTTGTTCCCCTGGTGCCATGGCAGTCACCGCCCTCCTCGCCCACCCCAATCCCCACTCTGCCCACCCACCCCGAGGGACAGGCCCGTTTTGAAGGTCATCGCTTTGCCATGGGACACCACGCCAAATGCCACTGGTCACTGGCTCTTGTTTGAATGCAAAACACGGCTCCTGTTTGCTCAACAATCAAAAAGACGTGATAGGTTTATGACTAACCAGGTTTATTTATAGGCAAAGGCGCAGGGTTAAGTGAAAGTATTAAGTTAAGTTTGAAAGATTATATTTGTGGAAACATGTCATTATTAGTTAATACATTAGTTTTGTTATTTTTTGTTATTGTTTTGTTATTATTTGTTATTTTTTTCTTGGTTTCTTAAATAAAACTTGGTATGTATTTCAGGACTTTTAGTTTTATTTTATTTTAACACTTTCTATCAAACAATGAAACAAGCAAATTGATTATGGGACGTACCGTGTCCTTAGAGAAGGTCCTCAGTTGGCAGATATTCTGGTTGAGGTTGATTTAACTCCCAAGTGGATATCATGACAGGACACAGAATCCATGATGTTAGTTTTGCCTGTCAACTTTTAAAGATTTCCAAAGTCAGGCTACAAACTATGTAAATTGGTTCATTCTGAGACTGTGTGCAAAAAAGTTTTTAGACAGGTTTATATTGGGTTTTATGATCCAATTAATGTTAATTAAATGAATAAATAGTTAAGATAAATACAAATATTTTGAATAGTGGATAAATGTACTACATTTTGTTTGCTTGTTTGATCCTAATGTTTACTAAAACTTTAAAGCATAATTATTTCTTAATATGAAGCTACAATAAAACCAAGATAATTTCTCTTTGGAAAACCACATCTTGGCCAGTCTCTCCCTTAACAAACACAAAGTAAAACTAAAAATGTAAACAGCAACTGCAGCATTACTCATTTAATATGGGCTCTTTCCAATATATAGACTGTTCAAGTTAAAGTACATATCCCCTATGAGTAAAATTGGGTAATAAATTCAATAATAAAAGTTTGTTTAAGCTGTACTACTGCTGCACCAGTGGCTATTAATATATTCATGAGTGTCTTCTCTCTTCAAATATTTATGTCAACAAGCTACAACTACATCTGAAAGCATATTTTCTTTCTCCTTTTATGCTCTACATGATCTAAATGCTGCTTTTTAACTTTATCTTTTGCAGATTTTCCAGATTGCGGAGCCTGAACTTATCCAACAACCACCTTGCTCAGTTCCCCTTGGCCATCTGTGACATCCACACGCTCACTGAGGTCAACCTCAGCTGTAACTACCTGGCCTCAGTCCCCAGCTCTGTTGGGTCAATGAGCAAGTGAGTACCAAAAAGAGGAGTCGATATAAATCACTGTGAGAGCTTTGGGACTGTGACGTCACGCCATCAGAATTTTCAGTTAGCCTAATGTTAAACGTCAATGGGGATTTTAAGATGCTGAATACTAAATGTAGCAGTTCTGACACTGATAAATTCACCAGTAGTGACCCAGCAGTTTTTCAGTCGAGTTTCCATCACCTTCTTCTTTCTATGGATATGTCATTGATCTGCTTAGAATGTTCCACAATATGACCTTAAACAGATTTACAGGCAGTTTCATAGCTCAAAAACACCTAGAAAAACAGGCATTCTGGCCATAAACGGGGTTGCTTCTCCACAGATCTGACCTGTAACTTGGCCTGTTTTGGTCTCCATGATGTTAGAAAGGTTTAATGCCATACTGTGAAACATTCTAGATAAAGCAATAACATTTCCATGAAGAAAAGCATATGACAGACACCTCACCAAAAAAGTTTCACAAAGCACCTATGCGATGCTTCAGTCTTTTCTCTCCTGATTTATAGAAGTTGAATTCATTATTTCACATTGATACATATTCATAGAAACCCAAGATCCTGCACAGTACTAATGGATGGAAAATGGTGTACTTTTACTTATGTCAGCTTGCCCCAGCTTACACCGCCAATAGTCACTAAACTGTCTTTTAATGACTCGTGTGCCAGGTTCATTTTGACAGTGTCGTGCCCAGGCTGAGAAAACCACTGAACCCTATCACAAAGCTGCCGCGTTTCTCCCACTTTCAGAGTTTACATAGGCAAATGTGGGCGTCACCTAGCAACAGGCACATGTTATAACAACCACAGTGATGTACTTAGCTAGTTGTGACACGTGAGCAAACAACAACATGGCCCGAGCTGGTCATCTGTGCTGACATTTTGCCTGAGTCTTTCAGACTTGTCTTGAACTCTTAGCTTGAAATTAATTTTGATTATACATATACTGTATGCAATTTTGTCCCATTAAAGGTGCACTAACTTTTCTAGTGGAGTGTCCGCCAACTGCTTGTCTCCATGGAAATGTTATTTCTTTGTCCTGAATGTTTCACACTTTGGCAATGAACTTATTTATCTTGCATTTTTTCTAAATTACAGATGTTTTTATTGCATAAAAATACAGTGTAAACTTGCATTCTTACTGTGTGTGAGTGGGCTTGCTACTCCACTGAGTTGACCTGTAACTTGGCATGACTTGTCTCTGGGGAAATGTAGAAGTTAAATGTAATTTTGACCGAAGCAGTAACAGCTCCATGAAGACAAGCAGGTAGTGGACCCTCCACTAGAAAAGTACTTTAATTGGATACTTGATTTTCAAAATGGACATTACTAGGGGTGTAACAATAACTGAAATCATGTCATATTGTATCGTCAAAGTTCTCACAATAATATTGTGGACCATCACAATATATCGAATTACAAGTCTCTTTGCTTAAATTAAGAGTTATGGTGCAGCAATAGCTACAAAAAGACAGAGGGAACTACACAGACCATGATCCTTTGCTCCATTTCAGTGTAGACTACAAGAAGAAAACTTTTAAGTCTTAGTTCTTTGGATTAAGTCTTGTTAGGGCATTTTAAGAGGAAAAAGCATATTAGCCTCCCCAAAATATCGCAATAAATATTGTACCCTGAGAAGTATATCATGAAAATATCATACCGAGACATTTGAATATTGTTACAATCCCAAATCGTGAGCTTTCCCACAATATTGCAATAAATATCGTACCGTGAGGTTCATACTGTGATGATATTGTATTGTGAGACTTGGACATTACTATCAAACTATAGCCTACATTCAAGACACCAAGTTCAACAAATTAAACTGTAAAAAAAAAAAAGAACAGCAAGATTTTAAGTTTCAGCCTACTGTATTGAGCACTGTTGGGTAATTTATGTTATTAGGTTCTTTTTTCAGACCAAGAGTTTGTTTTCATACCTGACATACCTGGCATTTCATACCTAATAACATAAATTATCAGAAGATCAAATGAACCTTATTGGAGCACTGTTGGGTAACTTATATTTATATTTGAGTTAACAGTTACACTTGTCACTATGCTTATTGTCTAAAGTGCTTTATATTAATGCATTTATGTTTTACAACATTGCATTTTAACATTTATTGTAACATTTATAGTCAGTTTAATACCAGCACCTATCCGTCTGTAACTACATAGACACACAGTGTAGTCAATAACGTTTTATGGGAGTTCTGATGTGTGTGTTTTTACATCTATAAAGTGTGTGGACAGAGATAAAACATCGACACGTCTTGCTAGGTTTCTTCCCTTGACAGTTATCACCTCCCTGTTCCTGTTTAGTTGTAAATATGATAATAGTTTTACAAGACTGCTCTACACCCTCTTTGGCCGCTAAAACCAAATGTTATAGTTCTAGGTAAGCACTTTCTGTGAATAGAACAAAGCAGGCTCTTAACCAAATTTTTTCCCATGACATTTTCTTGGAATTGTTTAAGTTTTTTGCTTCAGGGTCTACAGTATACCTTTATAGTATAGTAATAGCAGTCAACCCACTACCTGCTAATTTGTAACGCACTGGAGCTGTAAATTAGAGATGATAGTTGATAGTTAAAGGACCCATCTTACGCTATTTTGTGAGCTATGTTACAATGTTGTTTCCTCATCACAAACATACCTGGAGTTGAGTTGTGTTTCATTCACATATTCTGCATATTTAGGCTGAGTTCTTCTTCTCTGTTCCACCTTGTGATTACATTTGGGGATACAGCAAGTGATCCACTGTGTTTTTAACCTCCATACACCTTCATTAGAATCATTTGGATAATTTCAGACCTGAAATTGCCAGTCTCTACTGAATTAAAGATAAAAAGTAGCCGTTAACTACTGCTTCTTGACATCACAAGGTGGAACAGAGCATTTTGAGCTTTCCAGATGTAAACAGACTAATAAATAAAGGGTTCCTTAAACATGTGTGAAACAAAACACAACTCCAGGTACTTTTTCTGGGGACATCTTTGTTTTTTTTCTATGTTACGTTAAGATTTAAGCTGTGGAAGGTTAAATAAATAACTTCTCTAACTAATTATAGACACAAATTTACTGCTACAGTGTTTCATTCTGCTATAAGTCTATATCAGCACGTTTTTATTGATATTTAGTATTTAAAAGATAAAAATTTGGGGATAATCCTGCTTTGAGATTATTGTCTGGTATAAATTAGTTTCAATATAATTGTTTATCATATGTATTTTCTGCATCGAAATATCCCACTTTAAAATTTGTTATTGTGACAAGATTAGTTGCAAAACATTGTTTCGTAGTGGTTTGTTCAGTACTGACAGAATGCTTACATCCAGGTATGCAGTCTGTAGCTAGGCTAGAGCAGAAGATAATCTGCAGGAATGATCTGGCATGCTTAGAAATTCCTTCAGTGACCAGCAGTGCAGTTATACCTTTACCGCCATCTGCTGGTGGTTGTACGCACAGACACTGTGACCATTTACTCTTCTTGTAGGTGACCTTTTCAAAATGACATTATAATTCATGAATATTGTAGGCCTGTTTAGTTGTTTAGTCAGTTAAACAGTGATAGTCTCTTAGTTGACCAAAATGCGTGTTATCTTTTTGGGACAACAGCAGAAGGGAGGAGTGAGTGAGTTAACTCAAGATTTGGAATTTTTTGTATTTATCTCTAAAAAGCAGATTAAACTCATGACTCACAAGTGTAGTCTTTAGAAAAGTACATTGTTTTCTAGTAGGTCTGTGTGATCAATATCAATCAAATCAAAATCGCAATTTCAATACTTACAGTTAGCAAATTGCACTCTGTCCTTTGTCTTTTGTAGATAACAAAAAACCTTGCCATATTGTCTAAAAAAAAAAGCCTAACACTGTAGTTGATATGAATCTAAGTTTAGTGGTTCATATTTCTTTTTGCAGCTCATCCAAGCCACTTCTTCAGTTCTGATCTAATGTTAAAGCCTAAATGATTCCTATTCTCTGCTTACTTCTTGGCGTTCTTCAGAACTGAAGAAGCAGCTTGGATGAGCTGTGAAACGTATTCGATCAAAAACTTTTGTCCAGCTGACAGAATTGAATTTCTCCTTTTGCTATGGATCCTATCTGGATGACTAAGGGATTATACTTTTATAAACTTTTCTCTAATGTTAATGCTTCTGAACATGTTAAAAAATGACATTGAACAAGCTCATATTGTAAAAGCTTAAAACAAAAATGTAAACGCAGTGTTTGTCGGGAAAATTGCAATTCGAAGTGTTCAGCCCTATTTCCTAGTACTTTTCTTCCTCATATATAGTCGTTTTAGCATGAACTCCTGGCTGCACATGTCTTAAATCAACCAAGAATTTCTCTTTAGTCGACTACAGCCCTAGAATGTTGTCTCTGATTGTATCTCTCTTCTGTCTTGTAGTTTGCAGACGTTCCTGTTGGACGGCAACAGCCTGAGTGATTTGCCCAATGAGCTGGGATCTCTACAGAGGCTCGGATACTTGGGGCTCTCATTCAACCAGTTCAGCCACATACCCCAAGTACTGGAAAGACTGGCCTCTATGGAAAAACTGTGCATGGCTGGCAACAATTTGGACACACTAACTCTGCAGAACTTTCGGCTTCTTCGAGTCAAGCACATCGATCTACGGTAAAACTACCGTACATGACTATATACAGTGTTTCCCTCAGGTTTATACTGAGGCTATGGTGGCACAAATATTTGAATTTGAAACACATATTTGAATAATTTTACTTCAAGTATTGTGCAACGTCTGGGTGACTGTACTTGATCTACTTGTCTCCATGGATATGTTATTGCTTTGCCTGGAATGTTTCATGGTATGACATTAATCACATCTATCTAGCATTTATTCATTCTGGGTGTTTATATTGCTCAACAATACAATAAATCTCTCTGTGAATAGGGTTGCATCTCCACTGACCTGTAATATAGCCTATAGTTGTCTCCATTGAGATAGATAGTGACTGTGGAACACTCAAGACAAAGCAATAACATCGCTATGAAGTTAAGGAAGTGACAGGCCCTCCAACAGAAAAGTTGTGCAATGCATCTTTAACAGAAAAGCACTAATTACATATTTATAATAATAACATCTACTAGTGTATGTTTATGATAACACAGTATAAAGTATTATTCCTTTTACCAGTTTTTGTTCAGGTAGTTTTTTGTCTCTGGGGTTGAAAATTAGACTTGGAAACACTGACTGTACTGAGTGAAATTATGTTGAAAAAATACAAGGGCAAAACAGAGATGTACCCTGCGACGCATGTTGTTCCACTAATGATAGAAAACAAAACACTGTAAGGAAGTCACGGTTCTTGCGGAAAGCCAGACAGCACGCATTTGGAAAATCATTTGCTTATACCGTCTCCTTCACATGTCTCTGCAAAATGCCCAGCTTGAGTGACTTGCACTATTGAGCGGTTAATGCGTTACTGCTTTCCACTTTGTTTAGAATGTCAATATGAAGTTTCCATTTATGTTGAGGCTAAACCCAAATACTAAATAGGTTCAAGCTGATGAAACAATATATGTACAAAGTAGTGGGCTGTTAAATATGTGGATTACCATATTGTAAAATGAAAATAATAATAACTACACCTTGTTGAACAAAGACTTAATTCATAATGAACAAATTTTAACGTCTTAATTATAGGGTTAAGAGTTATGGTTACGGTTAGGGATGCACCGATGCAGGTATCATATATCAGCACTGATACTGAAAACTTTACTAGAACAGATATCGGCTTCCAAATATCAGTTCAGTCGATATCCTGGTTGGAGCTATAAATTGATCCTTTAAGACTGGTTGTAGCTGGCCCAAAAGGTCTTATAATGTTTGAATTCTTATTCATAGTGGTTTTGTACTTTCTTAAGGGACAAGTAGCAGCTACATAACACGACTCGATCACTTGTGTCTTTCTTTATTTTTGTTTTGTGGAAATGTTTTTTGTCTTTGCACTGGTATTTAGTGATCGGTATTGGCAGATACTTAAATCTATAGCATTGGAATTCATACTGGGACTGAAAAATCTGGATCGGTGCATCTCTAGTAGGGTAATCAGTAGTCTTAAGTTTTATTTGTTCATTATGAATTAAGTCTATGTTCATGCTTTGTTAAGGCTACTTAACGTGTAGTTATTATAAAGCATTGATCTGATATTCAACATAGTCAGAATTAATCCATTTCACGTATAATTGATTATAGATGTCATATTAAGTCAGTTGGAATTGATTAAAAACTAAACCATATCTGATTACTGTCATATTGTTGGTCTGGTATTGTAGTAGATTTTTAAATGCAAATGGATCAGTATTTGACATTTTTATTCATGGTAATTCATTAATTATGGCATTTTTAATTCACTGTTTGTTTATGCAATAATCCTAACGCTTAAATCTGACATTGTAAGCAATGTCTAATGAGGATTTGCATTTGATTTTGTATGAATGAATATGATGAATAAGTGCAGCTCAGCCTGGTCTAATGCGTGCACCTGTGCTCCCTGTTCTCCCTGTGTTAGGCTGAATAAGATCACGGTGATGGTGCCAGATGAGCCCGACCTGCTGCGCCATGTGACCCAGCTGGACGTGAGGGACAACAGGCTGACGGAGCTGGACGCCTCGGTGTTCCCTCGGCTGGAGGTGCTGCACTGTGAGAGGAACTGCATACAGAGCCTCAAAGCCAAGGGCACGCTGCTCAAAGGGATCTACGCTGCCAACAATGGTGCGTCAGGACTTACTCATATTTCCTTTTATAAGAGTTATGACTTGCAGTTTTTACCTTTAAATTTAGAGTATAAAACAAAGTATTTGACTTTATAAGTACTTTTGCCCCTCAGTTTTATTACCTACCTAATCTAACATCCAGTGACCATAATATAAGTAATATTTCATTAAAAAAATACTGAAAAAGTAATAATAATAATAATAATAATAATAAAGTAATTTTGATTAAAAAAAGAAAAGAAGTTATAGATGTAAATGTGTTCTAGTGATTTGTTACTTGCTACCAGCTAAATATATGACTTACTGCTTTGTTGTGCATTATTGATAGTAACTTACAACTAATAATTATATTTCATCCCTACTGGGGATCAATCCGGGATTTGTAGAGCCGTACTTACATCATTACTCTATCACTATTATTACTCCAGTCTCCTTGCTTGACCTAATGATGGAAAGGTCTGTATTCTAATTGATAAGGGTAAAACATTACTACTAATTTAGAGAGCACAATCCAGTCGACTTTGTTAAATATGCTTTTATTTAGAGCTTGTTTTATTTGTCATGATTGATAGACTCGTCCTAATTACTGTGTATGTGAAGGTGATCTCTCATGTGTCTTGAGTGTGACTCATATTGTCTGTGCCCTGTCATCATGCGTCTGACAGTCTGTTGGAGTAGAGTGTGAATGCTGCAGTCTCATTGCTGTCATTATCCCTATACCGCTGTGCCCGTCCTCCCATCGCCCCCCCCCCACCTCCCCTTCAAATGTCCCTCGTGTACCAGTGTGCCTGTACTGCTCTTCCCGTCTCTCCACTCCTCCAAATTTAGTTTAGTTTATTTAATGAGACAGGGACAGTGCACAATATACATTAACCTTACACAGGAGAGATGCATTGTACCGGGTTGTAGCACCAGTGCTAATTTCCACCTGTAGTCCTTGAGCAAGTTGATGTTATAGTTAATATAATGAAACATGCCAAGAGTTGTATGTTTTTAGATTATTTTTACAGACCAAGAGTTTATTTTCATACCTGACTTTCGACTGCTCAGTAGCGGTCTTCCTCAGAGTTGGAAGACCAAATGCACCTCATTGGACTATACAAAGAGAATGTCTTTATAATGACCAGATCATCATAAAAATTCTGTATCATCATTCACACTCAATTCTCTCAGCACCTTAAAATGCCTCTGTGCCGCTGTGACTGTGCCACGGTGGCTGTCCTTCTGTCCAATACGCCTCCCTTCCAATAAATGCCCCTCTTGTACCTTGTACCTGTACTGCGCTGCCCGTTCTCCTGCCCGCTGCCCCTGTCCCTCTCCGAATACCCCTCTTGTACCGGTGTGCCTGTACCTCTCTGCCATCCCTCCAAAAGCCCCTCTTGTACCGGTGTGCCTGTACCACTCTGCCCTTGCTCTAGGTTAATGTGTTTGCATTCTTCCCCCAACAGAGCTGCGCCAACTGGATGTCACGCCGGTCCCCTCCAATCTCAGTTACATGGACATCTCGAGGTGAGGAGAAATCCCTGCACAAATAAATAATGTAGCCCACGCTGGCCTCAAAGCAAACTGAAGGAGCATTCTTGTGTAAACATGCAACTAACATAGATTTCCCAAACTACACGGGAAACATCAAACAGATCTTAGAAAGCCTAGTTACTTGTTAACTCACAAAGCAGTTACTATTTAACTAAGTGGCCCTTTGCGTGATGTTATTCTATTTAATAACATTAGATACCCCATAATATTTACAGTAGATAGTAAGTCAACATTTTTAAATCAGGAAAATTTCAAGGCTAGTATCTTTTATGTGTCTTTTATCAGTCGCTATAACTATAAAACCGCAAATAGCCAATGAAGCAATAGCTATTTGATTTTATAGAGCTGGAAGTGTAACCCTATTGGGCAAAGGTCAAAGTTCAGACGTTTGTGACAAGTCAAATGAATAAATACCAACATTAGTGATTACAAAGCATGCTGTGTGCCCAGCTAGCCGCATATGCCCTAAAGCTAGTCAAGTAACAAGCGATTAATCATGTATTATTATATCATGGCATTTGTTTGGACCCCTATGTTTCTAAATGCTTACATAACACTAATTATGTACAGATGCAATGACAATGTGACCCGAGATACAGAAAATCTGCTTTAGTTTTGCATTGTTGTAATTGCAGGATCAATTATTCTTACTTCGACTGTGGCTTACAATATATTTGTCAGATTACCGTATTTTCCGGACTATAAATCACTCCGGAGTATAAATTGCACCAGCCAAAAAATGCGCAGTGAAGAAGAAAAAAAACATATATAAGTCACACCATACTATAAGTCACAGTTTTTGGGGAAATGTATTTTGTAAAATCAGAGACCAGGAAACAACATTTTATCTTGAAAAGCAAGTTATAGTAAACAACAGAATATGTTAACTGTTAATATGTTAACGTAATATATTAACAGTTATTCAGATAATTATAGCCTAAACAACATCACATATAACATACCAAACTCACGATCTCACTCCAATTCTCTGGAGATAAACCATAGATCCATGATGTAAACAGCGCGCGGCTTCCTCTCCTGCGTAGCTGTCGTCAGACTCAGCATCAGTTCTAGTTAAAATTATTCCGGTCTTTCTGAATCCCGACAGGATGATTTTCGATTTTCATTGAAGTTCAGGCTTTGTCGATTAATCCAGTGACTTCCAGGAAAGTTACATGGTGCACCCTCCGTGAAGCTGTACTGTCCATCCCAGCTTTCCAACAGTCAGTCACAAGTTTCTCGCTCACTCCAAACTTTCTTTCTGCTGCTCGATTACCGTTTTCGGCTGAATATTTCACTATTTGCAGTGAGACAGCGGCTTTTTTTACAAGAGGCATGCGCAGTAGAGTGTGAAGTGACAGTGGTACAGGAGTAATAGTAGTACTAGATACTGACAAACGAGCCTAGAGCGCCCTCTCCCAGCTATCGGTGTGAAAAGTTTAATAAATAAGTTGCACCACAGTATAAGTTGCAAGACCACCCAAACCTTGAAAAAAAGTGCGACTTATTGTCCAAAAAATATGGTACTTTATAATTGTTCTTTGCACTTAAGAAAACATACAGTGATAGTATACCAATATACTTACTTTGCCTGGAATTAAACTGATCATTCTTGGATACAAACAGGTGACACCACTAGTCCAAGTAACAGGTCAGATCTGTGAAAAGGTTTTTCATGGTATTTTTGAGCAATAAAAGCACCTGTAATTGAACTGAAAAGCAAGAGAGAGAAGTTAAATGCTATACTGTGGAACATTCAAAGCAAAGCAATAACTACAAGCTATAAGGACAGACCCTCCACCCAAATAGCTACTCAGAGGATCTTTAAACTTTATGTTAGGTCTCATATTGCCGTAAATAATGTTTTGAAACAATTGGACAGTAGCCAACAAGAATGCTACAAAAATTTGCAAGTAAAATTTTTTACACTTCTGCATACTAAAATTTGTACTTGATTTGGCCATAAAGTCATGTAAAAAACTGTAAATATATTCCAAATGATGGTCATAAATAAGTATGAATTGTATGAAAATGCAATACAATAAATACAGTTATTAAGGTATCCCCTCAATTGCTGTGTTAAACAGGCCTGGATCCCTCATACATCCCTGAGTCACTGTTAGTAACCAATAAACGACTTCCACACTGAAACCTAAATTTAGTTCCAGGACACTTGTAAACTTGTATCCTTACAGCACCTCACTTCATTTATCTTGCTTACCGCTCATTTGTCCCCTACAGGAATCGTATGGAGTGTTTGCCGGAGTGGCTGTGCGAAGCCAAGAAGCTGGAAGTCCTGGACGTGAGCCACAACCTCATCACGGAGCTGCCCGCGCGGTAAGCCTCTCTCTGCCCCTCTCGTATCCATGTGGACGAAGCCTATAAAAGGAATACGCCAATGCATTATTCCCAGTACACTCTGCCAACCAAGCCGTCATCTCTCCCCCACAGAGCTCCATAAATCACAACGATAGCCCTGTAACCTCTTTATATAGCCTCTCAGAAGGTCAGTTTCGAATGTGGAACTACTTCTTTGTATTTTTAAAGCCACCTATAACTTAACGTTTTTTCTAGTCCACATCATCCCTTCATTGTCTGCCCGTTTATTTTCTACCTGAGTGTCAGAATGATGAATTTCTACTGCAGGTTCCACTAGAGGCGCTGCGTTTTCTTTTTTAAGCATAGCCAGCATTACACCTTTGTCCTGTCCTCTTTATCAGCTCATGTTTTACCCAGTGTTTTGTCTGCCAGGATATTTAGACGTAAAACACATTATATTAAGCGTTTGGTAATTCTAAGTGACTTTTTATGGAGCGCCAAATTGCAAGTTATGACAAGGCATTACGGTGATGTATTATGGAGTCCAGTCTATATCGTTTATCATTATGTCATGTTTTTTATTGCCACAGGTTGTTATGCAGCAACAGTGTGAGGAAGCTGAGTGCAGGACATAATCAGCTGCAGAGGCTACCGGACAGAGTGGAGCGCCCTCTGCTGGAGGTTTTGGATGTACAGCACAATCAGCTGGTGGAGCTGCCCTGCAACCTGTTCCTCAAATCGGAGAGGTAATAATGACACAGGAAGTAATTATGCATTTTATTTGAAACTTGTTTGTCTGATATTACTTCACTGTATAGATTTATTTTTATGTTTTATTTTATTTTTACTTACACATACATTTATATAATTATGCCTTATTTGACCCCAATCTCTTGCTGTTTTTGCTACTGATTTAAAATGTATTAATCTTTTTTGTTATTATTATTGATCCCTGGATCAATAAAGTTTGTTTAAATCTATTGAAAAACAGTATGAAAGCAGACGGTGAACTGCCTAAAATTGTACTTTATTTATTGCAATATTATAAACTAATATCCTAACAATGATGTACGAGGAATTAATCTGTTTTTTTTCTTTTACATAACCACTACTAATATTAGTTTGCCTTACCAGTTATAAACCTACTTTAGTTTTGTTTCTAAATCATAGACTAGAACCTTTGAAATGAACTTAAAGCCACACTTCGTAACTTTAGCCAAAAACTAGACTAAAATATGTTGAATAAACACAAAGACATAGAAAAACATGCATCCTTACTGTGAGCAGGTTTGCATCTCCACAAACCTAACTCTTACTCTATTTCCATAGAGATTGTTTCAAAGTATGGCTTTAACTTTCCATTTCCATGACATCAGCCAGATCTCTGTGTTGCTATAAGAGGAAATGCACTTAAAATATATTCTGAAATGTTGTTTAAAATGTTCTGCTCCAGTGAACATACACAGGAACAAGAGCTGTACTTTTTATTTGAATTTTTTATAAAGAGAAAATATACTAATCATCAAAGCTACAATGCTATTCATGTCACTGGAGAGATTTTCACATTAGTAGCCTATTACTGGAGAATTTCAGCTTGAATTTTTGTAGAAAGGTCTACTAATCATCTCACCCACCATACCATTCATGTCAAAGGAAAGATTTTCACGTTTGTATTATTTGTGCATTTCAGCTTACGGTGTGTGAACGCATCGGCCAACAAGCTGGAGCACCTGCCCCCCTCCACCCTGTCCGAGGAGAGCCACAGCATCCTGCAGGAGTTTTACCTGACGAATAACCGCCTCACAGACAAATGTGTGCCCATGCTGACCGGGCATACCCACCTGCGAGTACTGCACATGGCCTACAACCACCTCCAAACTTTCCCTGCAAGGTAAACACCATCTGAATACAAGACAATTTACTAGCTTTTTTGGACCTGACTGGGAACCCTCGCCTCAACTTGGACCACAAAACCTCAGAACAGCTCTATTATGACCTCATTTTTTGTTGCTTAATATATAGTGTATTCATTTTTATACTGTTTTATCTTTGCATTGTTCATTGACTATTTTTGTTATCAACTATAAAAGGACTTGATGTAGGAAAACAGTGATTCATTTGCACCTTCTTTTATTACTCATATTCATTAATGATCAGAATATATTTTTATCACTTTAAGTGTTTATCTGCTGCTTTTAGAGACCATAAATGTACTTTTTCCAGACTTTTTTTTCTTCTATAAGTTAAAATATTCCCATAGAAGGCAGAGATTTGTATTCTCATATTAAAGAAGCACTATGTAACTTTTCTGGTTTGAGGGTCCACCACTTACTTGTCTCAATGGAGATATAATTGTTTAGCCTGAAATGTTACACAGTATGGATCTATTTTGCATTTATTCAGTCGAGCATGTTTTAATCACTATAAAATACCTGGTGTCCCTATCCACAGATCTGACTTGTACCTTGCTCTAGTGGAGTCAGATAAGCTTGGATAAGTTTAATGCTGTACTGTGAAACATTACATTATAGGCAAAGAAATGACATCTTCATGGAGACAAACAAATGGCAAATACTCCAACAGAAAAGTTACATAATGCACATTTACAGAGAAGTCAATACCTATACTGTACACTGCAAATAAACAACAACTGCGATTTCTGTTTATTGAATTTAAGCAAAATCCATATCACGAAACAAACACGGTCTGACTGTAATTGTTTGTATCTTTGTTCAAGTAAAATGGCCAAGTTGGAGGAGCTGGAGGAGGTGGACCTGAGTGGAAACATGTTGAAGACTGTGCCCACGACCATCCTGAACTGCAGACGTATGCACACGCTTATCGCCCACTCCAACGCCATCGAGGTCTTCCCCGAGGTCATGCAGCTCATGGACATGAAAGTAAGCCGGAGACGGTGGTAGCCCTGTTAGGAGAAATATACTACTATACACTATTAAATGCCTCTGTTGGGAAAGAGAATATATAGATAGATGCAGAAAACAGCTTGATATTGGGTAATGACTGTAAATCTTTATACCAATGTATCCTTTACTAGTGTATTAATATATTTTTATTGGTTTACCCATACACATATTAAGCGAGTGTGATGTCAACCACAGTGCTCTGCTCCAGTCAAATGAAGCTCATGATGCTAGCAGTTTTGGGGTGAATTTGGAGCCATGTTACGAATAGGAATTTACAGACAAAATAGCAGATTAAAACTGCCAGGATCATGTAGAGTGGCTTAATACAAACATTTTTCTATGTAAAGACAGTTTGGATCATAATCGATGGAGCCAGAATCACCCCCATGTTCACTTCCAATTTGGAAGGCAGCAGCTAGTGAATTAGCTATGGCCATTTATATCTACAGTCTATGTGTGTACTATGTAACATCTCTGCTCATCTCATATGGCATTAAACCTATCTATCTCCATGGAGACAAGCTCGTGAAGCCAAGGCCAAGGTACAGGTCAGATCTGTGGAGAACTGAAAAAAAAAAATCAATATAAACATGTTGAAATTGAATAAATACATTATAAATATGTTTGCTGTGGAAAATATTAGACAAAAGCTTAAACATCCTCAATTAGACAAGAAGGTAGCTGACCTGATCCGATCATAAAATTAAAAACAGTACATGTGTATGAGTTTTAACAATAACTTTTTCAAAACTTTTTCCAAACAGATATGACGTAAACAGGTTTGAATTAAATAATATTTTTTGGAAATATACTGTTGCCAGATCTGAAGAAAGTTTGCAATAAAGCCATAAGAGCCCTCTATGATATAATGTATACTCAGTAACTAATGGCATTTTTGTATGTAAAAGTTTAGGATAGTTTAGTAGATAGTTTAGTTCTAGATATATTTAGATTTAGATAGTTTGGTCAGTGTTTCAAGATGCTTATGCGATGCAAATGTAGCCAAACATCATCCAGCATCTGAGGAACATTGACCCTGACCAGATGCACATCATCAAGTACATTGAGCACTTCACTTGTGAGGAGTGCCACTGCATTGTGTATGAAATACTGGACTGTAGCCTGCACAAGCTCTCCACGGACCGTCCTGCGCTACCTCCTTGTAGCTTTTAAAGCACTGAAGGAAGCTCAAGTCCTTCAAGGTGACCTGAAACCCGATATTATTATGTTGGTCAACCACTAAGAGCAGCCATTTAAAGTCAAGCTGATCGACTTTGGCTGTGGAGGCCACTTCTCATACCTAGAACAGGGCATGCACATGATTAGGTGACCCTGGATGGTCCCCTGTCCGAGACCCTGGAGATGTGAGCCCTGGGCTGCGGCCTGGGAGAGGGCATTAGGCTGTCAGCTGTTTTCCGACTTGTCCTCCCATGATGACCTGAGGACCATCATCAATCTCCTTGTACAACCCAGTGATGAGATGCTCCAGAGAAGTGTTTACACTGATAAACACTTTCTCCAGACAAGCAGCCAGTGGAGATTCAACCGCCCTGGCAACTGCTTGGACTATTGTCTGACCCTCTTCAAGCAATGATTTAATTGACTTTTTTGGTTGAGTTATCTATATAATGTTTTTGTGTACTTTTAATAACTTTCATAAAGTAATTTTTGTTTCTCTATAGAGATTTAAGAAGTCAAATATGATTTGCATTGTGGATATTAATATTCCCACAGGCCCACAGGAAGTTTTTTGCATGTTATGGTGAATACAATGAATCCCCCACATTTCATTGTATCAACTCCCCAGTGGTTATGTACGCATTACTCTGCTCTATTCAAGCTTTGATTTTGCACTGCTGGTTAAAATTTTAACTCAGTGGGACAATGCATGTGGCCAGGAGTGGGTATCAAAGAACTAGGAAATTAAATGTGCAAAATCATATATTGAGTCCAGAAATATATTTTGTATTTATAATGTATTTCTTGTTTGTGCCAGTGTGTGGACCTCAGCTGTAATGAGTTGAGCGAGATCACTCTGCCGGAGAATCTGCCGCCAAAACTACAAGAGCTGGACCTGACTGGGAACCCTCGCCTCAACCTGGACCACAAGACCTTAGAACAGCTCAAGTATGACATGTTTTTAGTCGCTTAATATAGAGTACATTCATTTTTGTACTGCTTTATTTTTTAATAGTTCATTGACTATTTTTGTTACTAACTAAAAATGCCATCTATAACTAGATGTAGGAAACAGTGATTCATTTGCACCTTCTTTTATTACTCCAACTCTTTCACCTTTGACTACATATACTGAAAGATTTCTATATCTATAGACTTACCTGTAGACTTCCTCTGTCTATGTACTACTACTATCTATTACCTATTAGAGTTTGGCAATATATAAAAAATAATATTAACTCAGTATTTTAGGGGATTCTCTGGATAAAGATAATCATATTTTTCAATTCAAAAATGTCTAAATTCAATTCAGTAAATGCTTTTACTAACCCAAAATCACAACAGACGGCACAATTGTTCATCTACGTAACCAATGGAACGTTAGAAAATCAAACTATGAAATGTCTTGGCTGAGGCTCAAGTTTCACAGTCATTGCAATGGACTTTCAATGGATTTTTCTTATTCTAGATGATCCACACTCCATTCTTCAAAACAAACAAAAAACATGAATATCATCCCATCTCTACTGCTTACTTTTTACATTTTTTCTATCTCTCCAACCATTTCTGTCTGACTGTATCTCCCTTACATTTAACACAACCTGTCCCACGTATATACTCATGACATCCATCCTTGTCACTCAACATTTGACACTGTGGCACCTCCAGTTCTATTACTTTGCCCACAGCTCGCTTCACCTCGGTCTTGAGCATGTTTCATTTTATTCTAACTCTCTGCTTGCATACACCTCTCCTCTTTAAGCTATGCTGTGTGACCTCTCTGCTTATCTAGGGCCCTTCACTTTGACACTATTTTGTCTAGTGGTAGTTGACCTTCACACCTCTCTAGTGCCCGACCAGTATTTGAGTTGAAGATTTGCTGTGAAGTTTTACATCACATAATATATCGGCTGTTATATCGGTATTGTATCGGAGCCAAAAAAAAATTCCAAATCCTACTCCTCTCCAGTGCATTCTTCATCCTGCGTCATTCTTTAACTCTTAATGCAAAACTTAAAACAGTTAGTATATTTCTATGTTTATGTTTAGGGGCAGCCGTGACTCAGGGGTTAGTGACTAATGGATTGTGTCTTTGGGCAAGACATTTAAGTTACTTTGTCTAAGTGTGACTGTGATGTGACGTAGTAATACCTGGGTCATATAACTGAATATTAATTTGGACCTTTTATCTACAGTTTGTTATACTTAGTCAAATGTTTAAACAAGGGGGGGATGAGATGTTAAATACTAAAATTAGCAACATTCCAAAGTATTCTGACACTAAAATGTGATAAATATAATTACCCAACAACCAGTTGGTTTGTTCCACATATATTTTGTTTACTTTTTAATATATTTTATATATATTTTTTATAATATTGTTTTTCTATGGACATCTGGCACATCTGCTAGTAATGTAATGACATGATGTTGAATCCTGAGCTCTTTAAAACCAAATGAAAATAAAATATTTCTGCTAATTATACTATAGTCTTAAAATGTTGTTGTTATCACTGTGGTCTCATTTAAATTTGATATATATTGGTATATTGATTGGCAAGATTGGCTGTAAGAAATTGTTTACCTGCAAGTTTGTGACATGAACGAAATACTATATAGCTTTGAAATAGCTGTAGAAGACTATTTCATCATTATTATCAGCATTATAGACCTAGAACGTGTAATATTGTCTGAAATACAACCATATCACAATCTTGCATTCAGCCTACATTGTACAATTAGAACATAAAACCATCCTATCGATTTAAAGGCTTTCAGATGACGCACTGGATTTCACTTTTGTTGTTTTATGCTTTGCCCTTTTTACAGTAATATCCGTTGCTTCCGCATTGATCCGCCCCCGACCTTTTCTTCGAATGAGGCGTCTGGTGGGCCTGCTGTGTGGAGCCATGGTTACACGGAGGCCTCAGGCGTCAAGAACAAGTGAGTAGAGGATAAAACAGCATTCAGAATCGCACTCGGCCAACCAACTCTGACTAACGATCTGACTGCACGCATTGTCCACGCCACAATGACTCAAATCAGGGAAATATTGAATGTATGAATCACCCACACTTGTGTTCAATACCAGATAAGTGGCCAATATTGGCACATGGGAAATAAGAATAAGGTTTTATGTTTTGTATGTGTGATGCAGGTTCTAAAAGAAACTGTGAATTAAATAACAATATGCAATGGTCTCCTGCAAGCTTCATGTATTTTCAGTAAACATTAACAATATGTTGGGTGATTTGCAAAAAAAAGTACTATGTAGTCCTGTCAGAATAATTGGTATATTAGCGTTCAGTATATGATCGAATGTACATTTTATTTGCACTACTGGAAATTTTATTTATTAATATTTACTTATTATTCTTTGGCTATATGATCAGATGTGAGCTGTATGAAGTTGAATTAATAACTTCTTTGACTCATTACAGATGCAAACTAAGTACTAAAGTGTTTCATTCTGTTTATTTATTGCACCTCATGATGTTTTAAGAATATTGTATATTTAGAATTGTTTTTGTGGTTTAAATCTGCTCTTGGGTTGTTGTGTCAGTGGCATAAATTAGTTTCAGCATTATTATTTATCGTCTATATTTATTTCAGTAATATATTGTACTTCAAAATTTGTTATCGTGAGAGGCCTACGCACATTGTGCGAAAAAAGTGTGTCGATTGAACACTTGTACTTGGCAAAGACTGCAGTTATTATTGTGATATGATTACTTATTTTAATTCTGCTAACTATGTAGTTCAGACATGTTCTGAAATGTTTTTTGGTTTTTTTTATTCGTTTTTTCAGTCTTCTTTAAAATCTAATCCATATGCTACAGCACATGTTTAAAATGCTATTTTGGAATATAATTCTGCTATCAAAACTTCCAAGTCTAATTGCAATTGAAATACTGTAATCATGATTAGATATTTTTTTGAAAATCATTCAGCCTTAGTGAGCGTTATCTAAAATTGGTATATGTAAAATCTAAAAGAAGGGAGCCTAAAGCTCAACAGAGTAAATAAAACCAAAGTGTTGATTTCTGAAACTGTTACAACATGGCTCACAAACTTCTGCAGTCTAAATATCTATACCCTTTGTATCTAAGCTCTTTTCAGAAATTGAGTTTACATTTTATCTTTCAAAAGATCCAAGAAACATAGCCACTTGAGTGACATCTCTGTCGCACAGTGTCTCACAAAGCTTCATCTCCATTTATAGAAGTATAGCTCACACAAACAAAGCAATTATTGTGTCTTTGTAAGCCAGTCTCTCGGCTCACTCTTTTGTCTTTTGTCATATATTTTCAGGCTGTGTGTTGCTGCGCTGTCGGTGAATAGCTTCTGTGGAAACCGCGAGGCTCTGTACGGCGTGTTTGATGGAGACCGTAATGTGGAAGTGCCATACCTGCTCCAGTGCACCATGAATGACGTGCTGGCTGAGGAGCTGCATAAGACCAAGAGTGAGGAGGACTACATGACCAACACCTTCCTTGTCATGCAGAGGTGAGCTCAAGTTAATTTGTTTAGAGCTGTTGAATAATAGATTTTAGAGCAGTGAGAGAATGTGTGTGTGTGTGTTTTTTTTTTGTTTGTTTGTTTTTAAGTGAAATGACCCATCTTAAATGGTGCATATTACTGCTTTCTGATCTCTGTTATAATGTTTCCTCATAAAAAAATACCTGGAGTTGTGTTTTATTTCATTCACCTATGTTTAACACACAAACCCTGCATATTTAGGCTGAATTCTTCTCTCAAACAGAAAACACTCTGTTTCATCTTATGATGTCATATGGTAATAGAGGAAGTTTTCCACTATGTTCACTAGAATAATTTTGGATGATTTAAGTCCTGGAATTACCGATCTCTACTGAACAAAAGGTAAAATGTAGCTGTTAACTTTAAAAGTGCTATTTTGTGACATCACAAGGTGTAACAGAGCATTTTAAACTTTGGAGATGTAGACAGATTAATAAGTGGGTTGAGGGTTACTTGAATATGTATTAACGAAACAAAGTATTAAACCAAAAATGAAACCAACACCCATGTGACAGTGTATGCAAACATGGCAGAAAAATGGGTTAAGTGAACTGCCAAAGGACACAACAACAGTATGCAGTGTTTTAGTGGAACTGCTGACCTGTGAATCAGAGCTACAGAGCTATTGCCATAAATATTAAAAACAGTGAGTTGTTATATTTAGTCCATCTCACTTGTTCACAGTATGAGAGTGGGTTTTCTATATATGTATATGTTTATTTTAACAGTCTTCACTAACTTCACACAGCCATACTTTATACAACTGAATTCTTAGTTGTTATTCATTTTGTGCTAGCACTGACTTCTAAATCTTTTGTAGGAAATTGGGTACAGCAGGACAGAAGCTGGGGGGGTCAGCTGCTCTGTGTCACATCCGCCATGACCCCACTGACCCCGGGGGCTGCTTCACGCTCACTGCCGCCAACGTAGGCAAGTGCCAGGCCATACTGTGCCGTGACGGAAAGCCCATGCCCCTGTCTGTGCTGCACAATGTGGGGCTGGAGGAGGAGTACCGAAGGATCAGACAGCACAGAGCCATAATCACAGAGGTACAGGAGGATAAAAAATAAACATTATATTTCCCTTTGACATGGTGTTTACAAAATCTTTGTAACATAACCTAATTAATACCCTAACTTTAACACCTTAATTAAGTAGTTACTAAGTCTGAATAATTCTTAGGAGTCTTTGTTCATGCTTTATTAAAATTAATTAAGGTGTAATTATCATAAAGTGGTACCAACTATGAGTTTTCTGACACTTGATAGCAGCTGGCATCCCCATATTTTTTCCCTCTCTCTTGTCCGAAGAACCCACAAGGAAAATATAAAATTGTTGAATTTTATCTATAAATCTATAGTTATATTATAACACCATTTATATGTAATGACATAAGTATTTTTTCAATTCAGCACCCATCTTGCAGAATGAAAATGTTGTTATAACTAGACACCCAGTACATTTTGCAATAAAACTTCTACAAAAGCATACATCATCAGTGAATAGTTTTGTGTTAATAGTTGTTAGAGTGGAGTATTTGTGTGTTCTCTAATCTCATAGCATATACATATTAATATTTATTTTCTTTGTTGTTTCCAGGAAAACAAAGTGAATGGTGTGACAGATTCCACACGGATCATGGGCTACTCCTTCCTGTACCCGTCGGTGATCCCCTGCCCGCATGTGCAGACAGTCACCCTCACGTCCCAGGATGAATTCTTCATTCTGGGCAGCAGGGGATTGTGGGATACAGTTTCTCACCAGGAGGCGGTGGAGGCCGTCCGGAACGTGCCCGATGGCCTCGCCGCCGCCAAAAAGCTGTGCACACTGGCTCAGGGCTACGGGTGCACGGACAGTCTGAGCGCTGTGGTAGTGCAACTGAGTGTGAGCGAAGACTGCTGCTCCTGCTGCTGCTCAGACCCCCCACAGCCCCCTCCTAGCCCCGGGTTAGGCCCCTACCCCTCAGCCACCAACCCAATGAAGGAGCGGCCATCGGATGGCTCCCTACCCGTCCCCCCCTCGTCCTGCAGCGAGATCAGCAGTGAGATCAGTACGAGTGAGATGAGCAGTGAGGTGGGCTCCACAGCCTCATCAGATGAGCCCCCGCAGAGCTCCCTGGTGCTTCTCCACGACCAGCCCCATCACCAGAACCTCCAGCTGCACCACCAGGCCCACCCTCTGTCCCTGCAGCACCAGCAGCCTCCCAGCTCCATGCAGCCCTGTCAGTACTTGTACCCAGGCTCTGAGCTGCCATCCTCGCGCAGTTGTTGTGCGATGCATCCCTCGTGCTTGACGGGGGCATTCCAGAGGCAGCTCTCTAGCGCCACCTTCTCCAGCGCCCTGTCCGACAACGGGCTAGACAGCGAGGATGAGGAACCCATCGCTGGAGTGTTCTCAAATGGAAGTCGTGTGGAAGTGGAGGCAGATATCCACTGTCTCAAACCAGAGTCGCCCCAGGCCTCACAGCCGCTAGCCCAAGAGCGCCCCCTTCTGCTCAGTCTGCCCCCTCCACCTCCACCGCCCCCTAGCACCCCTGAACCTCAGGAGGAAGCAGGGGACATAGCAGAGGGCGACCAAGGCCTGGAGAGGGACGAATCGTGGCAGGGGGATCTGGGGAAAGTGCCAGTGAAAAGCAGGAGAGCGAACGGATCAGTGGCGCGACAGGAGAAGAGCCACAACCTGATAGAGGTGGCTGCGGACGCCCCCTCCAAGAAGTCCGGCGGGTACTTCACAGCACCAGCGCAGCCAGACCCCGATGACCAGTTCATCATCCCGCCCGAGCTGGAGGAGGAGGTGAAGGAGATCATGAAGCAGCATCAGCAGAAGCAGCAGAAGCCCAGCGGCACGGAGCAGCCCTCAGACTACTATGACACCCCTCTCTGAGCAGTACTACAACACCCGAGTACTATGATACCCCCTTCTGATCAGTCCTCTGAGTACTACTACACCCCTCTCTCCAAGTACTACAGCACCCCCTTCTAAGTACTACAACACCCCAAGTACTATGACACCCCTCTATGAATAGCCCATCGAGTACTAGGACCACTTGCTCTAAGCAGAATCTGAGGCTGCCCTATGCACATACAAGACGCTCCATCTGCAGCCGTCAGCTCTCACTGCAGAGCTACGCACTGTAACACGTGTTGTTAACCAAGACCTGCAGAGGTAGAACAAGCAAACCAGCCCTTTAATGATGCGTAACCCTTTTGAAAAGGACACATCCACAGCTGGCCCCTCGTCAGACTGTGGAGCTTTGTTTTTACACTAGACAACCAGCTGATATATAATCAACACTAGTCTCTTTGCAATAGCATTAGCTCGCCACAACTCTGCTAATACAGATAACAGTTCCATGGGTTGTTTGTTTGTTTTGTAAAACTTACCATATCTTTTAATGTGAAACCAGTGACTTTGCTGAAAAACTTTTTAAAAACAGACATAATCTTTTTATTATCAGTGACTATGATGAAAGGTACACCAGTGAAACCACTCTTAACTATTGTAGATAGGGCACTTAAATACTGTATTTCTTCAGTAAATCACAGCTCATGGCCTGTAAAATGGCATAGAATTTTTGTAGAAATTGAAATACTAACTCCTAGGAGTTGCATACTCTTTATTGTGACTCAGTCACTTTACTAATCTTCTCTGAGAGAAATGGTGATTTTTCCAATGACTGTAAATAAGAGTAATGTTGTATACTGATGCTTTTAAGGAACTGCGTACTTGTTTGTCGGTGAAGGTTGTAGTTGCAGGAGGATGTGAGGTTGCTGTCACTATCTCTCTATATTAGACCTACAAATATGAACACACATCCATGCACTCAGACTAATGTAAATGTGCAATTGCAGTTGAAGCCCAGACATTCCATGTAATTGAATAACACAGAAATTGTCCACATTGTTTGATTGTGATGTCCCGTTGTCATCACTGTATTTAAAGACACTATTAGACGGATATATGCATGCACATACACACACACACACAGCAGCAGCAGACACACAATATAGTCCCACCTCCCTCCTACAGTAACTGTTACCACCGGCATGACTGTCAACTTCAGTAATATAAATACTATATCCACAAAAGAGATACACAGATGTTCCTGTATTTGGTATAATAAATTTTAAATTTGTGAATATAAACCTTTTTGTGTGGGACTTTATTTGGAATTATTTGTACAATTGGATATAACAGAAAAGAAATATGGTTTGAGCTTTTGTTAAAAATAGTTTGTATACTATATTCTTTATTAAACATTAGGATACTGACATCAAACCACCACAAGAGGGCACCCTAAAGCAATCTACTGGAACATAATCATTCCACAGCCTTGTCGTGTCAGCTTAACCCGTTTGAACGTCCTTTGATGTCCCTTTAACTGGCCCTCACGTTGGACAGGACCAGATCCTCTCCTCTGCGCTTCTTGTACTTTTTCTTGACACAGACCACACTGACCGCTGTGATGACCAGCATGGCTCCCAACACGCCCAGAGACGAGGCCAGGGCCAGGTTGGTCTTCTCCTGCTGCGTGCCTCTGTACTGACAGCTGGGCCCGTAGTACCACCAGTCATCGCCCACCGCACACCTGCACACACACATACATCATCATACACACGCTTAGAGAGAGGGATGGAGATCAGACATACAGTTCACTGAAAGGAGGCCAGTTGTGCCATACAATCTCCTGTAGAAAGAACTGGCACTCCTGTTTACCTTTGTGCAATTGATCCTTTGAAAAAATATGCTTTTACCAATTTCCCTTAAAATATTAATCAATTAAAAACAGTTATTAAGGAACAGGACAAAATGTACCACAATCGCAAGTGACCCTGGGTTACTAGTTCCATAACTTGCAAGTAGAGGACACAATTTGTCTCATTTTCAGTTTATGGACTGACAATGCGTGCTGTGACAGATCAGAAACTCCAGAATTCACTCACTGCTGTGCTGACTCATTTCAATACTGAAACCGGGAACCCAAATACTTTTTGCTTAAGTAACCAAAACGAGAACCAAAACACCACATTATGAATAAATGGAATATCCTGTCCATATCCTGTTTTCATTTTATGAACATGTCTCCCAAAATCTTACATATGGTTCGTTTAAACTTCAGGGACAAAGAAACTGCAGTTGACTGTGCCCTTCAACCATAAATTCTAAACAAATTAAAATATCATTTATATATGTAATACAACTACATATGTGTTTTCTTATTTGAAATGTCATCTACTTGAGTAGGCACATAAAAGTTCTGTTCAGCAATGGCTAAATGTTCAGCTTTAGAGTGCCCTCTTGTGGCTATGAGTTGCAACAAACAACTTTGAACTCTGCAACTTCATCATAATAAGAATGATTTTAAATATATTTCCTTTCCTCCTTACATAAACTCCATAATGGTATCATCTTGTGTAACATTCAGTCATTTTCTAATTCAAAAACATTACTAATATTTTTTCTATCAAGGTTCCCCATACCCCCTGTACAGTTCTCATGTGTGGACTCCCTATTGAGAAACAGATCTTTCATAGTTCTGCACAAACCACTGATGCAATCTAATCCACCAGAGTCCAATACATGAACTACCCTGTGGCGCAAATCGAGCTTCTTCAATAATTCAACACTTTTCATGTTTAAAAAGACTCACAGATGTAGTAGATTAAACACTGTTTTAGTATGCAGCGAGTATTCACATGCAGACGGAGGATTTGGAGTTCTCACCTGCATTCAGCCCGTCCTTGCTCCACTACACAGACTCCTTGGTTGAGACACTGCAGGTTGTCGCAGTGGAAGGGTGTGGTGGAGGTGGGATTGGTTGTGGTGGTGTTGGTTGGAAGTGGAGGTTTCGTGGTTGTCGGTGGAACGGGCTGGGTCAGGGTCAAATGGGCCACATCTGAAGACAAAGTAAAGGAAAAATCAGTATCTTGTCTATTTTGTGTATAGGAAAATAGCTTTTGAGAGGTAATATACTGCATAAAATTGACACGTGTAAGGTTTAAGTTATGTTAGAATACTGTTACCTTAAAATGGTTGAAATGATTTGGACTAAAGTAAACCATGCCCCCTGCACAGCATGTTTTAGTGGTTTAGTTAAATCCTGGTTTAGACCTGGTTTAGATCTGGTTTAGACCTGGTTTAGACCTGGTTTTAGTCCTGGTTTAGACCTGGTTTAGTCCTGGTGTAGTCCTGGTTTAGACCTGGTTTTAGTCCTGGTTTAGTCCTGAATTAGACATGGTTTAGACCTGGTTTTAACCCTGATTTTAGGCCTGGTTTTAGTTCTGGTTTAGAGGCACAGTCCACGCAGTATACGGGAGGAGGCGTATATAAGGCAAAAAAGGTGATGCTCCAAACTATGAGTAGGTTGCCAGAATGGCGACATAATTTTACAGCTAATACACGCACACATGCGCATTGTACCTCCCCAGTGGCTCTTTTGCGCCCCCCCAGGGGAGGCGGGCCTCACCTATTGACCACCGCTGATCTAAAAGATTCTAGTAAGAGTGTATGGAGTTTAAAAACACTACCTATATTACCATATGAAATCACAAGGTGGAACAATGTTTTCAGTTTGAAGAACTCAGCCTAAATATGGAGGCTTTGTGTGTAAACATGTGTGAATGAAACAAAACACAACTCCAGGTCTGTTTTTGATGAGGAAACGTTATAACATAAATTAGAAAATAGCATAATATGGGCGCTTTAAAGTAGCACCTACAAACACCAAACTTTATACAAGAGTGTGACGGATAATTACAGAAAGATTTGTTGATGTATAAGCCAAGCCTGATTTGTTTGCTTTAACTGCATAAAAAAGGTAAAATATGTGTTTAAAATTTTCAGTTAAATCTAGTTAACGCAAAATTGCGAAATAAGAAATCCACTGTTTTCTCCAAATATATCTCAACAAAATCATCAGCAGAAACAAACAAGATATTTAAAACTGGCTCCATCACAAATTGGCACAATTTTGGCTATATTTACACATAAAATGCCTTATTTATATATAAAAGTATTACATGAAGAAAAACGTAACATATGTTTTCTTACATTTATGTGTGTAAACTACAGAAGAAGTTTCAAATTGATATCTCTAAATTTCAAATTTTTCTGACTTGCAGTGTCTTTCCTTATTGTCAAAGCTGAAATTACGGCAGTAATTTACGGCTTAATTTCACAAATGCCAACTGCATAACTGTCTTTTATTCTTTCATTTTGTTCACCAGACTGAAGTAAAACACCTTCTCTGACTTTTCCTTGACAATGACCACTCTCATGTACTCAGTATATCCACTATACTCTCAGTATCAGTTGCATGTAGCTGTATAGTTTAAGACCAGCAACCATTTAGCCATCTGCTTTTTCATCCCGTAACTTATAATCACTTAGTAATCACAAAAAACAAAAAATCACATAAAGAACAATTACAACAGAAAAAAATACTTCAAACTTATTCTGCAAAGAAATTATTTGACTTAGTGAACGCTGTTCTGGGCTGCCTTTAATGTGGGGTTACAACCTTGGAAGTGGTTAGTTCACAGAGTTCATATGGAATGTGATTTTGAATTATTAATTGTTTAACGTTTTAAGGGAACGATTGAAGAATAGACTATAAAGAAGAATAAAGAATCAAATATATAACTTATTGGACCCTGGAGCCCTTTTCAAATGTTTATATAATATGACATAGACCTGAAAGAGAATTACGGTGAGAAAAAAAAAAAAATCATTGTATGTTTTTAACATAAAAATCGAAACAAAACAGAAAAAAAACTGTATGAAAAACTGTAAGAAAGTGTCAAAAGTGCACTTCATTTGACACATACATTTGATTGGACAGAGCTAGTTCTAAATGTCTTGCTAAACATTGTCGGCATTAGATACAGGCACTTAAACTCATCAGGAAGAAACTAAATACATGGATCAAGAATATGTATGCTGAATACCAATTATGAGTAACTGTATTGTGGTACAGCTACTTTTTTATTTGGTGGTATTCAGAATACAGTTACTACCCTAAACTGAAAGGAATACTTTTTTTTTTCTTTTTCTGTATACTATCATGTAATTTTGCCTTTGTACTACAAATTTGTTTGTGAGAAAAAAAGAAAACATCATTCTTGCAATGCAAATTTGTGGAATTTTTCTTTAATAAACAGGACAACTAAAATAAAGTGGTTTGTAATACTATGTAGAATTTTTCACACTAAAATATAATGCACCTTGGTGTTAAAGTATTGTAAGCATTCAGAATCAAGTACTTTCTTTGGCCCATGTAATGGAATACATTACAAAATACATTTTACTGTATGTATTAAATATCCTGTAACTAAATACATTTTCAAAGTATTCTTCCCATCACTGTCAGGGGTGAATAATTAGATGTTGAGAATACATAACTATACAAGTAAGTGAGGAATAACTTTGAACCACTGCAACTGTTTAAAATGAACTAGTTAAGTTTTTCCACATTTTTAAAACAGTAAAAATTAAGTACACCACCTTTAAAGTTTGTCTTACCTTCCATAGTGAGCAGAAAGATGGCATCTCCTCCCTTGATGAAGTCCCTACTCTTGGCGCGGAGGTGGGTCAGGTACACCGAAGTCCCCAGGCTTGGTCCTCTGAAGTACTTCGTCCCATCGGGCTCCGTCACTTCAGTGCCCACTTTACGAGGGTCATCCCAGAAAAGCTGACCCGTAGCTGAAGACAGAAAACATGTTCAAGCACACAGTAAGGAGAAGAGAAAAGAAATCTGAAGTGGTCAAAGTTTTAGTGAACAATTTCATGCAGTTTATTTATTTATTACATTTCATTTGTTTTCATTACTTCATAACTTTGGTCAATATTTAAATACATAAAATAAATGTAAATTGTTGATTAAATTTTATTTTTTTTATATTTTATATCTTTTCATCTTTTTATATATGAATTTACTTAGTTGCCAGAATGCAGACAGCACTATATTTTATTTTATTTATTTTTTTCTCTATACTTAAATGTACACTATGTAAATTTTGCTTGTTGTAGATGTTGTTGCTTTGCCTTGAATGTTCCACAGTATGGCATTAAACTCTATCTCTATCTATTATAATTTCCCAGGTGATGCCAATAGACCAAGTTACAGGTCAGATCTGTGGAGAGCTGCTCACAGTAATAATGCGTGTTTTTGGGAGTATATTTTAGCAATGAAAAATATGGTTGAACAAGCGCAAGAGACAGCAACCTGGTCCCCCATGAGGCATCAGTGGGGGCAGTCCATCACCACGGAAGCAGCTTATGAGGAGCCCAGTCTATATTACATGATCGTGATATCCACAATGCAATGTGTGTATCTGTACAGGCCCATGAACATTTGTGTGATATTGGTCACACATGAGAATGCCTGTGTTTACTAGTATGGAACAAAACTCAAATTTTTCATGAGTGCTGTATATGTTAGTTGTGTGACTGTAGATCAGTGTGTTGTGTATCACCAGAAAAAGAAGAAATGGAAATTATTTTCATTCTAATTAGAATTTTAACGGCATACACTTAAAGAGAAAGGATTTGTTATAATTAGTGATTATCTCGAAAACTATTAATATTTTACTATACAAATGCATAGAATTATAAATAGATAATAATTTCTCAGAGATTTTGAGACCACTCCTCAGTTTCAACCTGTAACATCCAGTGTACCCCGGTTATGTGTGTGCCAACTTGTGTGATGATAGGTTGAATATTTTAAGCCGCAGATGGTTCAGTCAATTGCCGAAATTGCCTATCCTTTATAATGGCAATTGACCTGTGTGACCTCAAATGACCTTGGATTGTCACCCAACCTTTTTTTGCGACATCGGGCACAGGGGCTTGACCCACGTACCAAATTTGGTGACAATCGATCCATAAATGGTGGAATTATCGCGGGTGGACAGACACACACACAGACATACTGGGTGAATAAAAAACCTGGTCAACTCTTTGGGGACCAGGTAATAAATGGAAGACAGAGAAACTTAATGCTATACGGTGGAACATTCAAAGGCAAAGCAATCTCCATGGAAATATGTTTTTTTCTGCTACTCAATGGACTTACTGTATCACATTATTTCCTAACTTTCATAATAGTTCTAAAACGTCTCACATGTCGTTTTGGTGGGATCCGTGGTGACGCTCCGCTGATTGGACATCCTCTTCTGAATGTGCGGATTCTGGTCCATAAGCATCATGGTGATCTGTTTCCATGGACAAGGCCATTTTTGACCCGTGTCCCCCTCCCGAGCCACCAAGCTTGCGTACGCTCCCAACTCCCCGGGACTGTCCTTTCGACCACCGGGATACAACTTCATCTGGAAACTATAGCCCTCCTTAGACGTGAACGCTGGACTGTAGATCGGTGTATCTTCTGGCGTGGTGTCCATGACGTGGCTGAAGTTCTTGATCCTCCAAACGAACTCTGGGCAGGTGGTCTCAGACAGGTTGATGTCATCCAGGGACATTCCGCCCGGTGCTGTCTCCAGACCCTCTTTGGAGGCTTGGAAAACCACCCGGAATTTGGTCTTGGCATCCAAACTTACATGGTGTAACTGCCAAAGATCTTGAGGTGGACCTGTGCAGATGAGAAGAGAATATTTTCAATCCAATCCTATACACTTCATTTCTATAGCACATTTCACAAACAAACAGTTTCCTAAGTGCTGCACAAATACATAAATAAAACAACAATAATAAAATGATAAAATAAACTACTACAATAATCATACTAGTCTTAAAATAATAAAACCAGTAAAATAAAATAAGAGCAAAATCATAGAATAGCAATAAAAAAAAAAAAAAAAAAAATACATAAAAAATACATAAAAAACACAGAGGACCACACAACTCACACAGTGTTAAAGGACAGAGAGTAAAAGTGGGTCTTGGGACGAGACTTAAAACACCCCACTGTGGGGGATTTTCTGACATGGGGGAGGGCAGAGTGTTCCAGAACTTAGGGCCAACCACAGAGAAGGCCCTGTCCCCTATGGTTTTAAGTCTGGTCTTAGGCACAAAGCACCGAAGCTGGCCCTTGGACCTCAGAGCTCACGCAGGGGTGTAAATTTGGATGAGGTCCAAGACCCACTGTGGGGTCAGTCCATTCAAAGCTTTAAAAACAAACAGTAAAATTTTAAAATCAGTTCTAAAATTAACAGGAAGCCAGTGCAAAGACGCAAGGATTGGGGTAATGTGCTCGTTCCTGTTAAAAGACTCGCTGCAGAGTTTTGGACTAACTGTAGTCGGTAAAGTGCATTTTGTGAGATGCCAGAATAAAGTGCATTGCAGTAGTCTAGGCGTGATGAAATAAAAGGGTGCATAACTTGTTCAAAAAGTTTAAAAAGCTAAAAAAGGTTTAACTTAAGATAAAATGATAAAAACTTGATTTTAAAATGCCATGATCTGCTTGTCAAATGTAAAATCACTGTCTAAGGTGACGACAAGGTTGGTGACTGTGGGGCAAACATAATTTTTGAGGGGTCCCACATCAGAGAGAGTACTCTTCGTTCAGTTTTTAAAAGTTTTGGGCCAATAGATAGATAGTTGAGCAGGGGTGTCGGGGGCAATGATCCTTTTTTTTTGCAACCTGATACTTTTACACATATCATCCAGAATTGTTTGTCACTATTGATACTTTGCAGTTACTCTAGGGGTGACACAATGCACATATTAACAAACATTGTCAAAAAGTGTTAAGATAAGTTTGAAAAAAAAAGAGAAAACTTTCATTACGAGAGTTCATGACCCCTTCTAAGTGTTTGATATTCAATAAAAGCTGTGACTGTGACTAACTGCAAAACTATTGTCATCTCACCTGTTGTAGTTCCAGCTAAATCAGTTCTTTCTGGTCAGAAGGACATGACTCAGTGGAATATACAGTATTTGTTCTTTCTGTGACAGAGGATGTGCTGCTGCTGCTGCTGCTGAATCTGTTCTGTGCATATATTTTGCGTTGGAGGTGGTTCATGTTTAACTTTTCAGAGATCATATGTGTGCAGGTCATACGAGTGCAGATTGTATGTGTGCAGGTTTAACACAGTTCTTTACTTTACAGTCATCTCATGTGTGGTCACTTTATTTATGTTGGCTACTGTTGTGATGAATATGGATGTAACAATATCCAAATCTACGATATTACGATATTATCATGATATGCATCTCACGGTATGATATTTATTGCGATATTTTGGAGAGGCTGATATAATTGTAGATAGGACACTTATTTTGCTTTTAAAATAACTTGACAAGATTTCAAGTAAAAAAAATATTTTTTCATGTCGTTTGCACTGAAATGAATCATGGGATATGTAGTTCCGTATGTTCATAAGATATTGCTACTATAAAACCATGCAATTAAGCAAAGGAACTTGTGATTCGATATACTGTGACAGCCCACGATATTATTGTTTTGACGATACAATATCACAATATTTCGGTTATTGTTACATCCCTAGTGATGAAAAGACTGAAACGTGTTTGTCTTTTGGACGCATGTGCACTCAAATTTATGTTGTAGTAACCGGGATAGCATATACATGCCACAGTATTCTGGTTTCTATCGGAATACTGTATACCAGCTACAGTATCCTGGTTTCTCATAACGGGGATACTGCCTTATTCGGGATAAAGACACCGGGATAATGTGTACACATGCACCATGACGAAAGCAGGAAACTCAAAAAACCTGATCGAAACCAAGATACTGATGTGCATGTAAACGCACTCATTGTGTAAAAACAAAGCTCAGATTAAAGTCTAGTAAAGTCTCAGACAGTGCAGAGCCTACAGTTAGCATCACGGGGAATCTTTATGAAATCAGATGCTTTTTTTTTTTCAATATGCACACAAATAACTAACTGTAAGCACTGCTCTGTCTGAAGCTCTGTTACTCAAATTAAACTTTAATCTGATCTTTATTTTAACACAGTCTGACAGACAGAACTCCCTTTCACATAACATAACAGTCATAAGACAGCATTAGCCAAAGGTTTTTCAATTAGTCACTCTCACCTCTTTGTTGAAAATCAGACTCCTAAACAGTTCCATGAACGCTCATATTGACCACAAGCTTTTGAAAATGAGTTGTTAAAATGTTGTATTTTTCTTATACTTTAAGTTAGAACTATTTTTAAATAAATGTTTAGTGTGCCAAAGTTGTATTTTTTCGTTGATTTAAAAAGAAACCTATAACTTTTTATATGTATGTATGCTTCAGTGAGTTACATCAATAATTTTCATAAGTGCTCCAAGGTGACTGCTTTTGTACTTTTTCACTTGTATAGATAAGAATTATTTTAATTTTAACAACACAATGGTTACACAATATAGGCTACATCTACTGGCATACTTACTATAAAATATGAACGAATGGCTTCTTTTTGCCAATCATTTTTAATAAACCGAAGAATTTAATCAATCTACTGAAATTTGGTTGTTGGACTTCAAAACCTATTTTTATTTTCTTAATGAATTTTTTATATATGTATCTAATTATGTATAATGGACTAAATATTTTAAGAGCCAGTACTTTTCGTCACTCACCAAAGTAGCTTCTTTAGTTCTGACAGGGTTTGGGTCACTGCCTTGTTGTTGATTACTGTTTCATATAAAAATAATAAGCCCATAATGGTTTAAAGATAATTCCTTGCATAGTGTAACTTTTCTGGTGCAGGGTCTGTCATCAGATTTTTTTTTTTTCCATGGAGATTTTTCTGCTTTGCCTAAAATGAACCACAATTGCATTAAACTCACAAAACTTGGCTTGGTGGTGTCATTTTTTTTGCCTCCATGGAGTTAGATATGTTCAATGCAATATTATGGAGCATTCTGGACAAAGCAACAACATCTCCATGGCGACGAGGAAGCAATGGACTCTCCACTAGAAAAGTTACGCAGTGCTCCTAATGCTCACTCACCCAGAACGAACAAACATATAAAATGGATTAATTTTCACGATAATATTGCAATTTGTTTCTTATTTTTCAATTTCAGTATCCCCACTTCATACCAGAAAGTGGAATCCTCACCATCTACTGTGGTGATTAAACGCAGAGTCCCACTGGGCTTGGCTTTGTCGTATTCTCTGACGTAGATCTTGAGCGTGTCCTTGGCCCCGGCGCTGTTGTAGTAGAAGAACTGCAAACACTGTAAGCCTCGTTTTGGGTACAGGAGCCGGCTCTCCAGCATAGCTGTGTCCCCAAGTTTAGCGGAGGCTGTGTTAAAGTGCATGAAAAAGCCAGAACCTGTAGCACAAATGAGAAATTAGTTTGCCTTTTTAATACAAAACTGCAGAGTAAATAGTAGTAGCAATATTAATAGGTTAGTTTAGTTTAGGTTGCTTTATTTGTACCCGTAGGTAAATTTGTTCTGGAGATTTAAGAGGTTGGTCTCACATTTCACATTTCACTCATCAACATTATGTACAATAAACACATAAAAACCCAATTACAAGTGTTGGCTAAGCTTGACTACGGTCATAATAAATATTAAATAAAAACACACATTTTTTTTCAAGACTACGTACTAAAATTGACAGATAAATAGATTACAATTTATTAATAAGTACGATAGCAGCTGAAATGAAGCTCCTTTTAAAACGATTCATTCTACATCTTGGGACTAAAAACCTCTGACCTGAGGGAAGCAGCTGAAACTATTAGTTTAGTGGATGTTGCATGTCTTTTATAATACTCTGGGACATCCTCTGTAAGTGTCTGGAGTACAAGGAGTCCAGGCTGCTCTAAGGATGGACAAACACCTCAGTGGCCCATTTAACCAACTGATTCAGGGAGTTCTTGTTTTTAGCAGAGACACTCCCAAACCGTGAGACCAATGAAAAAGTTAAAACTGATTCCATAAACTTATTATGGAACAGTGTCATCATGGTTCTGTTTACATGGTAGAAGGACAACTTCCTCAGGCAATGAAGGCGTTGGTGGTTTCTTTTGCAGACAGCAGTACAATTATCACTCAATTTAGAATCAAAGAATGTTCCAAGACACTTACAGGAGTCCACACACTCAACTGACTGCTCCGTTATATGTGTGACATCATTCTGAAGTGCACTTTTTTGAAAGTCAAGAACCACATCCTACGTTTTGGACACATTTAGGTGTAGATATGACTCTTCACATCATTTTACAAAGTCATAAACAACTGGTCCATGTTGGTTTTCATTTTTCTGGAGCAAGCTCACAATGACACAATCATCCACGTATTTTATTATTGTTCTATTCGTTTACCCCACTGACCCTTACTCCTTGTGTTCTCTGGGTTAAAGAAGTAGTAGAAGTAGTAGTAGACGTAGTAGAAGACATAGACGTAGCAGTAGACGTAGCAGACGTAGAAGTAGTAGTAGACATAGAAGTAGACGTAGACGTAGTAGTAGAAGTAGACACAGACGTAGAAGTAGTAGTAGACATAGAAGTAGACGTAGACGTAGTAGTAGATGTAGACACAGACGTAGTAGTAGTAGATGTAGTAGACGTAGACGTAGTAGTAGTAGTAGTCGTCCCAGGATCCATAGTAGACCTGAACCCTCAAGACATTACGATGGTGTTGTCCATTCTAGTGCAGTCGAATCTGGCTATACTTCTGTTGTAAGGAGTATTATACCTCTGATGACATAGGCCAAGATAATAAGGTTTGAGCTGGCAGTGTGCACTCTGGAATTTCTCTAACAATAACTGCACTTTAATCTAAATGAGACCACTGCGTACTTCTGACATCTATTTATGAAGCATTTTTATTGTCCACGAAACAGAAACTAAGACTAGTGCACTGTTAGCATACTAGTAGTTGTTATTACCAATACCGTGACAGCAAAATTCCTCTCAGGAATCTGAAAGTTGTGAAAAATGGTGAGTAATTAAGATGCTCTGAATGCGTCAGGAAAGCGAGAAATAAATTTAACAGTTTGACAGTGTTTTTCACATTTTTAAGACTGTAAAAATTGAAAATAGGGTACAGCACCTTTAAACTCAACTGTCCTAACTATATGCAAATATATGTTATGTTATCAGCCATAGTAGCAAGATTATAAGACTCTAAATGCTAATGAAATGTGAAAAAACTCAAGAGAAGAGGACTAAAAGGAGAAAGATAATGGTCCATGTAACACCTTCTGTGCTTTAATCCTCTCCTCATGTGGATACCATACATACGTCTCCGTGTAAAAGACTTATTAGCATATTGATTTAGCGTTTTTTTTTTTTTTTTTTTTTACCAGATAACCTTCTTTGCACATTTCCTTTGTCGTGAGGTCGAGGCCCAGACAAAGACTGCAGTGACTCCTGACCTTCGGAGGCTGGATTATTTTACAAGAAGAAATCAGTCATATTTATACAAGCGCATGTTTAATAAAGTGGTGCCCTTGTAATTAATTAAAAAAGAAAATTTAAGATACAATTAAAATTTATACATTTCAGCTTAATTAATGTTTTTTTTTTTTCTTTTGCTATAAGGCCACTCAGTGATTAACAAACTGACTTCATGTTCTTAGGCAAGATTCTTCACCCATCTTGTATGTAGCCAATGTGCTGAGTGATTTGTTTATCATTTAGGGGGGTGTTGGAGAATTAAAATTAATACATTTCAACTGATTTAACAACATATTCTTTTGCTGTAGGTGCAGCGGTAGCTCAGTGGCATAAGGATTTGCATGTAGAGGTACCGTGTCCTTGGGCAAGACACTTCACCCACCCTGTATGTAGCTAGTGTGGTGTGTGAGTGATTGGTGATTGTCACAGTTTGGCAGACTGCATGAGTCAGTCAGCTGAGGCAGGACAAAGCAGCTTTCAAAGTATCTTATGAATGAATAATTCATGAAACTGTTGAGCAACTGGGAATGTCCGGAATGGTGCAATTGAAAACTAATGCATCATTGGTTTTATTTGAGGTGTTTTGCTCAAAGACCCAAAGCTTAGTTGCCTTTATATTTCTTGTATTATATAAGCAGCTCAAGGAGGTTAAAATTGTGCTTTGTCTGCCTAAATGTTTAAAGTATTTATTGCCAGAGTAACAGAAAGTGCTTCGTTAGCATGCTAGTTGTTGTAAGCTTTACAGTGACACCAAAATTCAGGTCTCTTATAAGCTCTTATAAACTAATGTCAGTGAATAATTAGGATGCTCAGCATGCAATTGAGGAATTATTTTTGAACTGCTGCAAACTGTGTAAAATAAACGACAATAGTTCTGTTTTTCAGAACTACTGTCGTAAAAATCTGGTACAGTTCTTTTAAAGGTACTGTATTACGTAAAATTAACTCTTGTGAGCTTTAAGCCATGCTGTAATGTTGTTACCTCCTCAAAAACAGACCTGGAGTTGTTTTATTTCATTCACACGTGTTATTATTTATTTATTTATTAATTATTTATTATGTCTGCATCTCCAAAGCTCAAAAATGCTCTGTTCCACAGCTGCCTTTTACCTTTTGTTCAGAATAGATTGGGAGTTCCTGGGCTGAAATTATCCAAATGATTAAGGTGGAGTTTACATTGGCTCTAGTTAGAACATTACATTTTTCTTCCACTGTGAGAAACTTGAGGGAGATTTTCCACAGCAAGGTTAGTGTAATAGTCAAGGCAGGTTGATTCCCAGAGCAGATTCCAGGCAAAGTGAAGACCTCAGGTCGACACTGAAAAGACTACTCATGTCTGTATGTCTTTAGTGCAATGCCCTTCTTTTCATTGGACTTAATCATTCCCTCCTCCACAGAGTCTAACAGGCACAGAGCTCCTTTCTAATGCTTAATGCTGCCTACACATCTGAACTTGTGGCACGTCCCCTTACAGTCAGAGCCCACTGATAGTCCCCAGGTTCAGACATAACAAGTGTGTTCTTTTAAATCTCTGCTCAAGACTCATTTATTCGGATAGGCCTTCAATGTCTTATTATTGTGTATTTCACAGTTTTTTTTTCTACTGTAAAAGAAATTGGATTCTTTCAACTGATTTTGGAGTGAGTACCGTAGTCCGCTCATCCAAGAGGCTCCTTCAGTTCTGACAGGATACTGGTAAGTGAGTACTGCCTTAAATATCTGTCTGAAGGAAGGAGCTAACTACACTGACATCACAGAGGTGGAACAGAGCATTTTGAGCTTTGGAGATGCAGATTAATAATAAAAATGTGTGAATGAAACAAAACACAACTCTGGGTATGTTTTTACAGCATAACAAGTTGGTCACAGGCATGTTAGTCAGCTCTGAGGCCTCTAGAATCATTATATAAAAGCGCTCTCAAAACCCATGACAAGAAAAGTCCACCACTGTCATATTCTTGTGAAACACAACATTGAGTACAAGATCATCCTTGATACTGCTGCTCCTCCGCTGAAACAGTTGGTTTCTCTGAGCTCTGAAACCACCTCTTGAGCCACTCGATCCACTGTGCCCAGGATCCCCAAACGCAGGACAGCATTTGGAAACTCAGCCTTTTCATGCGCGTCAGTCCGTCAGTGGAATATGATCAAATGTACAAACTATGGCACTTTCTCACTGTTGATGAAAGACTGACTCCTCTCAAACCAAACCTGCACCCATAATGTGGACTGATGCGTGTCTGGAGAGATCGTGATGTGAATGAACTGATAAGTGAAGAGAATGAATTTTTTGAATGAACTTTGATAAGGAGAACTGGGTGTGAATGATGATAGAGAATTGTTATGATGCTTCGGTCATTATAAAGACATTCTCTTTGTGTGTTTGATTTTATGAACTATAACATCAACCTGCTCAGGGACTACATGTGGAAATGAGCACTGGCGCTATAACCTGGTACAATTCATCTCTCCTGTTTAAGGTTAATGTATATTGTGCACTGTCCCTGTCTCATTAAATAAATTAACTAAACTAAACTAAAGAGGTGCCAGCATTACAACACGGCTTACAGCTCAAAAGAATTCATTTTGTGTAATTTAGGACCTTTAAAGTGCTTTGTGCAGTACTTGCCTGTACATTTGCCCAGGTTGGAGTAGTCTGTGGTGGGCCCTCCTGCCGCAGAGGACACTCTTCTCCAGTCTGCTGTATCTCCTGCTCCTTGGATCATGCCACAGATGTTCTCACGTTCAAAGTCACACGAGTCGAGAAACGTCAGTGCCTTGGCTGTGTCCATAAACATACAACAACATGCAGACTTTGAACGGCTGTTAAACACTTTATAACGCTGTATATACACGTTTATGCCCAGTCTTTTGTAGTTCAATAAATAAGTAACAAGAAGAAGTAACAAAACAGTAAAACTGATGAGTGCACGTTTTTATCTGTGTCAGGGTGGGTTTCTTCTAGGGATGGGAACCCACTGCTCCTGACAGTTTACCCCCGTAGCACTGGTTGGAAAATGGGTCAATTGCAGAGAATGTACACAATCAGTCAAAAGTTTGGACACATCCTCGCATTCACAATTTTTCTCCCTTTATATTTATTACTTTCTACATTTTTCTACACACAATAAATATATGATGCAAAATACTGTATATGGGATTATGTATCAAAGTTTTATCTAAAACAGGTTTTGAATTAGTTTAAGTTTAATCTACAATGTATCTACAATAATCATGGATGTAAAGAAGAAAAGTTAATGAAAAAGTGTGTCCAAACTTTTGACTGATAGTGTACTTTCTTCATAAGTATACCTTAACTTTGCAAGTGTGTACATATAACTATTCTGGGCAAGCCACTTGCTTTACCAGTAAAGTTCTGCAGTGGCATTAATCATATCTATCTCCATGGAGACAACAGGAGTCAGATCTGTGGAGAGTTGACTTCTCTCGCAGTAGTAATGCATGTTTATCTCTTCAATATAACTACTGTAAATTAATACAAGTTTGAAATCAAGTTAGCAAAAACCTTTAAATTCTTCTCTTTTCATTATTAATTACACTTTTCATCCAACCTATACTATTTTTAAGTCTTTTCATCTCTTTATATCAGGCAAGTAAAGGAGGACCATCGCTGCAAAAATCTAGCCAAGTTAAGATGACTTGAATTAACAAAGTTTGATCATGATTTGAGTAAATTTCACTTGACAAGTAAAATTATGTGCCAGTGGAATAAGACTTTTTGTACTTAAAATATGAAAATACATCTTGCTACACTTTTCAGCAACTCTTTTTAACAACTTTTTTGCGCTTAAAATAAGAAACAAAATCAAATGTTGCTTGAATTAAGAAAAACACATTTATTCCATTGGTAGTTAATTTTACTTGTCAAGTTGGATTGACTCAAATAAAGTCAAATGTTCTTAATTTAAATCATTTTAACTTACCAAGATGTTGATTTTTTTCAGTGCAGATACAGATTAATCTATTTTCGAATCTACGTTATAATGGGGTTTCCTTGACACAAACAAACCTGGAGTTGTGTTTTGCTTCATTAACACATGTTTAACACACAAACTCTGCATGTTTAGGCTGAATTCTTTTCTGAAACAGGAAACACTCCATCTTCCAATGCCATGTGGTTATGCAGGAAGTGCTCCACTGTTTTTTAAAACTTCGTACACCTTCACTAGAATCATTTGGATAATTTTGGTCATGGAATCCCTACTGAACTAAAAGGTAACATGAACATCACAAGGAGGAACATTTTGAGATTTGGAGATGTAAACAGGATAAAGGATTACTCAAACATGATTAAAAAAACAACACAACTCCAAGGTGTGTCTTTGAGACGGTAAGCTTAAAGGGCAGTCCGGAATTTAGGACATAGGACCTCATTTCCTAGTGAGCTAGATTGTTGGAGACGTGTGGAGACACTTTTTAAAATATTTCATCCAGTCCTTGTATTTGCAGATGTCACTGGTGCTAGGCTAGAACATGTCAACAGCCATAGTTATCCTGCAACTAAAAACAGTCTTACCCACTCCACAAAACACCCAAAGCAAATCTATTATTACGCTAGACCATCGAAGGAAATGTCTGTGTTGGTAGAATAATTTTAGAATTAAAACCAACCTTGCATTTGAAGGATTTATGTCTGAGCAGCAGCAGTGAGTTGTACTTCCTGATAGAAAGCTCAGCAGTGGCGGACTGATATATGAGAAAATAGTTCCTCAACATGTGACGATTCATGCAATGCAAAGTTAGTTTTATTTCTAACATTATTCTATCAACACAGACATTCACATCGACACTGTGACGTAATAACAGATTTGCTTTGGGTGCTTTGTGGAGTGGGTAAGACTGTTTTTAGTAGCATGTTAACTATGGTCATTGACATGTGCTAGCCTAGCATCAGCAACTAGAAAATGAGGCCTTATGTCCAAAATTCCAAACTGTCCCTTTTTTTTTTTCATTTTCACTTATTTTATTTGTTTGAGCCAACAAAATTCAGAAACAATAACAAAAAATTGTGATATGAACATGAACATATTTAGGACCTGGTGCTCAAAAGGAGTAGGATGAAGTTTAAAAAACTTATGGAGTCCTACCCCAATTGTTTTACATAATCACGTGGTTCACTTTTTTTTTTTATATATCACCTTGGAGTGCTTACCTGTCGTTTGCAAAAATATACCCACATATATACAAAAACATATCCACACATACATACATACATATGCATGTACACACACTTATACACACATATGTACACACATACACACATATACGCATCATAGATATCCAGTAAATATACTCAGTATAAATGTTTATACACATATGCATAACACACATATACATACATGCAGAAACATGTATGTATGTTTCTGCATGTATGTATATTTAAAGCTCACAAGAGTCAATTTTGCCTGTTTTACCAGTTCAATTCAGTTTCATTGATTTTTTTTTTTTTCCCACAGGAACGTGACTCACTGCAGTTGTAGAGGCGACTCAGCTTGAGCAGGTCACTATCACTGAACTCCATGCGCTGTCCGATCACGTCACTGAAGGCAGGGATCTTGGTCACGATGGTGGGCTCGGTGCCGTTGCGGAAGGCGTTCTTACTGTAGTGCATCATGGAGCCGTAATCATAGGGGACCCCAAGGGAGCTCGAGGTGGTGTCATTGTACGTGTTGAAATTGTGGCCTTTACCTGCAGATCAAATATTATAACGGTGGGTTTCAGATGAGATATCAAAGTTCTACCTTGGAAACTTTGTGAAATACTTAACTACGCACACTTGCTCTACGTTGTAAAGTTCAAAAGCATAACAGTTTATTTTATAACTTTTACAACTTCTTTTTAAAAGGCCCAGATATACACTATTTTCTGATTATCTTATGAGGATGTTTTTTTTTTATAAAAGCATACCTGGAGTTGTGTTTTGTTTGACTGTAATTGAAATGTGTAATGGAAAAACAGTGGTAAAATAAAGGTAATTTGCAAATCTAGCGATGTGATTTGTTGAGAATTGAAAATGGAGAATGGAAAAAGTTGAACATGATATACGTTAATACTTGTTCTTCTTCATTCTTGCCCCATGCAGGGACATCACCAGCATCCATGGCAACAACAGAACAACTAATGACCGCTAACCTTGTAAAATTCAGACACAAACTTCCTCTACATTGCAAAATTCAGCAGTACAGTCCTTGAGAACTACATGTTTTACAACTTCTTTTTAAATACTCACATTATTTTCTGAGCTGATGCTATAATGTTGTTTTCTCATCAAAAATCTCATCTGCAGTTGTGTTTTGATTCATTCATACGTTTCACACAGAAACCCTGAATATTTAGGCTCTTAAAAGACATGAATGAAACAAAGCACATTTCCAGAAAAGTTTTGATGTCAGAACTAATCAATTCTGCACTGTAGATGTTTTGGAAGATATTCTGTTACTTATTAACCAACCACGTTTTACCCTGGGTATCAAAGGCCTTTGTACATCAATCGCTGTGAAATTTTGATAAGGCAAAGTTTGATACTACTGTTCAGAGGGCATCCCATGTTTATTCATGTTCTTCAGTGTATATAGGCTACACAGATAATTGCAGAACATGAAATATTCACACCAACATGCTGCCACTTCTGTACTCTAACAGAGATCATCTATTTATAGATCCAACACTACGCATGTTTTTAATCATTTTTATTTAATACTGTTCTGACGTCACAAAAGTGAAACCAAAAGGAAATGAATTATTATTTATCCTTTCTTCCATTAAAAATTTCAGTAATCTTGTAAGATAAAGTGATCTAAACATGGAAACTTCGCTTTACTCTACTAGGTCACGAAAAACCTGAGCTGATATGTCAGCTGCTTATTTCTGAAATCCAGAGATATCAACATGAATCCTCACAATGTGAGTTCACAGATTCTCGCAAATCAGTCTGGCTCAGATGTTTCTGTTGTGACTATCCAGCGGTTCAAACCAATCACAGCAGTGCATTTTAGTTTAAGTAAAAGTCAAAAGTGAAGCGCTTAAGCAGAACAAACATAGCAACACTGACAAATCTTACTGCCTATCTGAGTGAAAATACAAACTATTTACTTTGCCACACCCACCCCTCTCTGCACACGCCACAACATAACGTGTCAAAAGTCCCCCCAGTCAAGTCCAGTCTTGTCAAGAAAAGAGTCCATATCTGCTCAAATTCCCATTATATCACAGAGTGGGTTTAACAAAAGTTTGACTTGTTCCTCCAATTAGCTTCAGATGTTTGTCAATGTATGTCAGGACATTCCACCTTTTCACAATTGCCTTCAGTGTGATCTGTTCCAGAGTATAATATCAATATACCATATCAATACTGCATTATAAAGAGAAATAAAATTTCACAAGGTACGGGTTGATGTATTTTGACAGTACCTTCAGCAGTGGAGGAACATAACAAAGAAAAAGTAGTAAAGTACTGTACTTAAGTAAAAAATTTGAGCTATCTGTACTTTACTTAAGTAGATTTTAAAGAGGATACGTTTTACTTTTACTTCAGGTATCTCTCTGCTCCACTACATTTTTGAACAGAACTGAAAAGTAAAGGTATTTTTATTAGTTTCAAACCTGCTCAAAAAGTTTTATTTTTAACATCTTCATAATTTGAAAACAACAAATAAACTAATAAAAACAGCTAGATCACAATGATCAATTCAATTGTTACTGTTGAACAAAATTCAACACAATTATATTCCAAAATCGGTGCAAAATATTTTTGCTTTTTACTCTTCGATTACATTTTTAAACAAGTACTTTAACACTTTTAATTAAGAAGATTTTTTCAAGTGATAGTTTTACTTTTACTTGAGTATTTTTTTCTCCTGTATCTGTACTTTTACTTAAAGGTTGTATGGAGGATTTTTTTGTTGTTTTTTTTGTTTCAAGTTGTCAATGATAGCATTATAGAGGTGCAGTAGTTTGTAATTATGATGACCAAAAAAAAGAGAATAAAAATTCATCAACTCTGGATGTGGTGGTGCTAAACATTTGCCAATAGATAACGACACTGCCTCGTTATCTGTTAGCTGACAGGCTGTCAATCAATCTCCCTACGTTTCTAGCGTAACTGACTTGCCTGCGCGCCACCGGTACGTGGTTTACGTACGACTGTCACGCAGTCCACAGACGCAAGACGCACAGATGCTGTTTACTCCACCAACGCAACAGTTCTTAGCGGCTTTTTTTGACCTATATCTTCCTCGCAGTTAGCACAAAGTTTGTTGCAATGGCAGACAAGAATCCAGGAGCAGTTAGCCGCAAAAGAAAGTCCGTTTTTGAGGTCGCTGAAAGAAGACAAGGGGAAAAGCAGCGAAGCCAAACTAAGGTGATTCTTGAAGATTCATTCCAGCGATGGCGCGACTGAAGCAGACGCAGGGTCTAAAGACTGACGCATTGGTCCACAAATTACTCCTGGACAGGTCACTTCTGCTTATTATGAAAACGTACTTTATTTCCAAGAGCTAGTCAAACGTTTTTCAGGACACGAAAGCGATATCCTATGTCTGAAAACGTAATTTTCAAGGCAAAGAAAGAGTCCGCTTGCTGCTGCGTGTTGTAGCTAGTTCATTCGCACGGAATCTCCGCGCGCAACCTTCTCTGCACCCCTTTCCTGCTCCTGTCCCCGCTGCCCGTTCCGCTCTTCCCCCTGCTCCTCACTTCTCCGGGCACGGAATCTCCGCACCGCTCCCCTCTCCTCTCTCCTCTCCCTGCTCCCTGCTCCGCTCTTCTCCCTGCTCCTCACTTCTCGTCCGCGAACGAAATGTCCGCACACCCGCTCCCCCCGCTCCTCACTTCTCCGCCTTGCCTAACCAACACTGTAGTTAGTTGTTTACAAGTCATGTGCAGTGCCGGCTGTAAACAAACCTGTTTCTGGCGTAAAGAGGAGGCGGGAGAAGGCGTTTCTACGTAGGGGCTGTAGGGGAGGGGGGGTGGTTTCACGCATGCGCAACATTTGAAAAAGGACAAACAGTCGCTGGATTTCTCGTTCCTTGGAAAATCCTCTATACAACCTTTAAGTAACAAAATTGAGTATTTCTTCTGCCACTGACCTTGCACTTTCTCACTTACAGTTGGTCCAAAATTCTTCCCACTTTTAGTTAGTAGAGTTGTGTGGTCCTCTATGTTTTTTTGTTTTTTTACTTATGTAATGTTATTTTATGATTTATCTTTTATTATATTTGTACTGGTTTTATGATTCTAGGACTGGTATGATCAAATTTTTATCAATTTACCTTTTGTTGTCTTCATTTTATGTTCTCTGTGCGGCTCTTTGGAAGCTGCTTTGTTTGTAAACGTGCTATATACTGTAAATAAAGTGGATCTGGATTTGGACTGACCTTCAGAGATCCGGTCCCACATGATCTGCACGTAGTCATCTCGGTCAGACCTGGACTGCTCATGCCAGAAACCCAGTGCATGGAGAAACTCATGCTCAATGGTGGCTATTCGGTCACAGTTCGTTCCAATGGACAGCACCTGCTTGCCCACATGCCGATTACCAACAGACGAAAAACAACTTGGAGAAAGACAAAGAAATTCACAGATACAATAATTATATATACACCATATAATAATTACTCAAGGATTTCTTTACAGGTTAGAAAGCACTTTGAAAACACAACATTTTCTTTTCTTTATACCCGCTTCCTTTAAAGACAGAGATGTAGTTCTGTTCTCCACTCCAAGGTTGAAAATCAATACAGGTCTTAAGGCGGTATTGTTCGAAGGCCTTCAAGATAACACCTTTGGCATTGATTTCTATGGAACATATGATATAATACCACCTTTAGAACTGTCACGATACAGGACAAACTTTTAATATAGATTTACTGATACTGATAATTACCCAAGTCATCTTCGAAATAGTAGGGAATAGTCCTGGGCCATCGATACTGTTCTCCTATTATGGAATTTCTGGTTTGTTTCTGTTGCAATCAATAAAGGAGTTAGTCATAATACTTGTGTACTTTTTGCATATATAAAACTGCATTACCTCATCCAGTACAATGTCTCCTTCTACCAGATTCAACCCAGCCTCTACAAAGTATGTACAAATATTACTGACTGGCAATAACAGTATACTAAATGTGAATGCTATAAAAAAGCTATAAGAATTTTGTATACCTTCATTTATGTCAAAAATGTCAAGGTCTCTTCCCCCGTCCACATCGTAATCTATAACCATGATTCAACTTGGTTAAAAAGAGTCAAGGATGCAAATATTGTGAATAAATCATCTTTCACTCATTATTCTCAATGTTATGTTGTGTATGTTATGTAAGTTTTTCCCACAATAAAATCATCTTATTACTTTCTCTTCCATATCAAAATTATTGCAAAAACAAACAAAACAAAACAAAGTACTACAAAACTTATGCACAATTTTCAGTATTTCCAATTGCAATGTGACTTTAGTATACAGACATTAAAAACAAAACTTACCCTCGATGACTGGAGTAGGCTGTATGGAACAGACACCAGTGTTAGCTCCAAATAGATGATGAATTAATTGTAAAAATAACAGAGACTCACCAGGCTCACTACAACTACACAAAAGAGGTAAACAACCAGTATGTATGCAGCTCTCTCCCCTGCCATTGCCCAAAATTCCCTCTTACAGAAAAGCACCTCTTTCCAGAGCCTTGTACCTCCTTAGTGAACCCCAGCAAAGACAATTACGAGCGGCCACAAGGATGGAATCAGAGACACGTATCACCGCCTGTCAATCATTCATAATGCTGTAAAACTTATACAACTAGGGGCTGTCTTTTGACAGGGCATTACAAGGGAGAAGATCAGAGAGATTACACTTTATAAATAGCAAAAACAAAGCCTAGCCAGTGTTTATATTAAGGCTAAAAGTGGGTGAAAAAAACAAAACAAAAACTAAATATGCATGTCGCCTTTTTGCCTTGGCCCGGACCGTTCCACAATATTCAATATAAAACCAAAAATAAGACAATGAAAAAATAACTGCTTTCTTCGTTATTTGTCTCCAAAACCAAAATGAAAAAACACATAATGATTCGTTTTTTTCAGTTTTCGATTTTGTGTTTAAATGAAGAATGGAAAAAACGGATAACGGCCGTTAACCGTTTACGTGACTTCCGTGACTGCGATGCCGGACTTTTGCGCTGCATACGGACTGAACCGGGACTGATCCAGGTCCGGGACCAGACCGAGACCAGAGCGCACTCCGAGCTTTGACTCCGAGCCTACGCGGGGTCCGAGCCTCAGCTTCGAGCTTCGGCCCTGCCGTGGGCTCTCTGCCTCCGGTCTGGTCCCAGTCTGGTCCCGGTGTAGCGTTTTCAAACTACCCCCTTCAAAAATTACCCCAGCTATCTCAGCTGACTCCTCTCAACACAGAGGAGCAACAGCTCTACTCTGAGTTCCTCCCATGTGAGTGAGCTCCTCATCACTATCTCTAAAGGAATGCCCAGCCACCCAGCAGAGGAACCTCATTTTGAACCGCTTGTATCCACGATCTCGTCCTTTCAGTCTTGGATTTGGAGGAGATGATTTTTATCCCAGCAGCTTCACACTTGGCTTCAACCATAGTAACTTATAATAATAATAAATATTTTAAATAATAAATAATAAAGCACTTTTAAAAACAAGGTTTACAAAAACAGACAATGATGCAAACAGTCAAATAAATTATAAACAATAAATAAAAAGAAATAGAATTAAAATATATATATCTTTTTTTTTTTTTTTTTTTAAATCAAGCTAAAACCAGGAAGGCCAGCCAATAAACTTCTTAAGAACTGATTTAAAAGATGATACTGATAGTGCGAGCCTTATTTCCTCAGGCAGGTCATTCCAAAACTGAGGTGCCCGGACTGAAAAGGCTCCATCACCCTTCATGGAATCTGGACTTTGGAACAGCCGCAGGGACCTGCCTGCGGATCTGCGGCTGCGGTAGGAAGGCTCGTACGGGGTTAAAAGTTCTGACATGTAACTTGGTGAAAAATGAATGAGCTTTAAAAGTGATCAGTAAAATCTTAAACTCGATTCTAAAACACATAGGCAGTCAGTGAAGAGAAGATAAAACAGGGCCATATGTTGATGTCTGTTAAACTCAGTGAGGAGCCGAGCTCTGCCTTCTGAACCGGTTGGAGGCTGGAGATGGATTTGGTGTTGAGGCCAGAGAGAAGGGAGTTGCAAAGATGTGTGCGTGGATGATTTTTTCAAGATCAGGGTGGGAGAGGATAATATTGATTTTACTAAATATTGATTTTGCTAATTGTGTGGAGGTGGAGAAAACAGGATTGGGTGACTTTTTTGATGTGAAGGTGGAAGCTGAGGTAAGAGTCAAAAATGATGCCGAGATTTCTGACAGCAGGGGTGATGTTGGGAGCGAGAGGGCTGAGACTATTAGTGATATGGAAGATCCAGCTCAGATCCTGTTGATGCCAAACTGGACGCTGTCTGGCCCCTGACTGCTCCTAGTTATTCTGTTCATAAAAACAATGAACAGAACCTGTGGCAAACATGAACTGAGGATAGGTCTGACTTACTGCCGGCAATGCGAACACAGAGAACAAAATTTGAAATAAATATTCAAATCAGTTTTACAGTGTACACTTTAACCAAAACCAGTGTTTCTAATGTAATGTTGTAGAATCAATATGTTGTGTGTAGCCTGCAGTCAGTTTAATTGGGGCTGTATAGTTTGATGCACATGGTTGGCTCTTGGCTCTAAGTTTGCCCGTGGAGAGCCGTGGCAACATCTTTGTCCACTGCTTTTTCTTTAGGGTTATATAAAGCTCTTTGATCTGTTTACATCACACTTTGCCTCGTTTGACCACCTTGCCTTTCCAACATACAAGCAGAGAAACTAAAATTACTTCCTACCAGGAACTTGGGTTATAGCCTTGATAGTCCATTGCTCTTAAAGGGTGAGAATCAATGAAACACAGCGACAACTGTTCTTTTATATAAAGTTGTACATGTATTCAAATACACTTTTTCTTTGAACAATGTTTCAATGCAATTTTCCATTGTGTTTCATCATGGCCTGGTGTTTTATCTAAAAAACAAACCCAAAAGCACCCTTATTTTAAATCCTATCAACTACACTTTGTTTTAGGGTTCAATTGAAGTAAGAATCACCATTTTTATAAATGGTTTGGGAAAACTTCAGCAAGATCAATTTTGAGTGTATGCATTACATACAAACAAACAAAATGAACTAGAAGGAGTCACTGTGGACTCTCAAGGCTATAGCCATTCTTTAAGGCTGAGACTCAATGACATATAACAACCCTTCCTGTATATTTATTTGTACATAGTACATCTATTCTTTATCGGTGTTTTCATGTGCCCTTGATTCTCACAAAAGTGGGACAAAGCAGAAGAAAACCATCAACCACATCAACCCCCGCCTGTCAAATTCATGCAAACTTAGCGTGCTTTGCTAGTATCACATTTAAGCCTTTAGTGATTACTTATTGATATTTTGAGGCCTTTACTTTATATTACTTAAGAAACAGGTTTATGGAGGGGATGGGGGTAATGAGGCTGAACTGGTGCAGTTTGCAGATCTCTGGATATGTTTGTACCTTTAGATGTGCTGATATTGTGCTGATAATGCCAGCTAATGAAACTGGGATGCACTATATTTTCATCCCTGACAATGCGACACTTCTTTTGGGGTCAGTTGTTATACTTGTTACTTTACCTGGTACCTGGTTTTCCTGTGTACTAGCCTGATTATACCTAGTTTACACCAATTTTGTCATTTCTTTTAGGATGTGTTCATAGATTGTTTGGAAGGGGACTGAGGGAGTGTGATGTTTTGAGAGTATGTATTACATGTACAGGCCTACATACTGAACACAAAATGTCCATTTACAAATGGACATTTTGCTAAAGTCAGGACAGTGGAAATTGGGGGATTGTTTATACTGAGTCTGTACTGTGGAGAGGAGCCAATCCTAGCCCACGATGGGCCCTGAAAGAGTCGTGGGCCCCGATGCGACACAGCTGCACTGCTGAATGCTATGCCATTGTAACACTCACAATGTTTTTATATTTTATTCAAAATGTTAAGCCACATGAAATATAAGAGCTGTACTAAGAGCTGTACAATGTATTCCTATGACATGTAATGGGGAACAAAGTGCTAGAACTTTGACTTTAAATGTATCTGACATTGAAGCTGATGTGTTTCTGTGCTGAAAGAAGGTTAATAGAGTCTGGTTGTGCTGTAATTAAATGCTTTATTGGTGGTTATTTCCTGGACAAATATAAGAAAAAGATCTGAAAAGATAGTCCGCAACAAATGATACAAACACTAAATAAGGTACCCATGGAGCCAGGCAGTATATGCAATTAAAATAGCTGACTACTTTAGAATGTCTTTCTTTCTGACCAAACCAAGCTATGTCACCCCTGGAATTCTATTCAGCTAACTATCTCTGCAGTTACTTATGACAAAGTGTTTTTGGAACTTGAATTAGTTTTATAAGAAAAAAAAGTAACTCATAATAAAACCATTTTGTATTTAACATCAGTGTCTCTTACACGTGGTATGGAAAAGTTTTTCTCGGTTATTAATTAGATTACTGAAAATAATTGTATTGCCTTAATTTCTGGACAGGTTTAAAGGTGCATTATGTAACTTTTTGGTTGGAGGCTCGTCACCTGCTTGTTTCTATGGATGTCATTGCTCTACCTGGAATGTTCCACAGTATGACATTAGTACTTGTTACAATTTTAAATGCCTGTTGTGGCAAAAATTATATATTAATTTAAACATTAATTTACACAAGACTGATTGAGAGAAATCTTTCCACAATCTAAATTTCTATCACATGCCTTATTTTAAATACTTATTTAAAAATACTGTACACATGATTCTAAAGAAAGAAAGAATTAATGAAATAAGCTAGTATAGTTTTTGCCTTATAATAATGCACTTTGAAGTGATTCTGTTTTGTCATTACTGTTTTGTATTTGCAGTATATGTATTTTGTGTTGCTGTATGTCTTCATAAGATTCAGTTAAACTCATATACTTTTTTAATATATATTTTTGCTTGAAAATTGAAGCTCAATGTCTGTATTGTCCAAATGTATTTGTTATAATCTTAAATGCCTTTTTAAAATCTCTCTATTTATATGTGCTTTGTTTACCACATCGCACGTAGCGTTCTAACTATGCCATGAACTACTATTTCTTTCTTTCCAATACCATGCATGTGATTGTAAATAAGACATAAACTAGAGTAATTTTACACTGTACCCAATTGTGCACTACGAGATGATTTTATTTTGTAGGTGCTAAAATCTTGTAAGAGTACGGATGTAACAATATCCAAATGTCACGGTACAATATTATGATGATATGCATCTCAAGGTATGATATTTATTGTGATATTTTGAAGAGGCTAATATAATTGTACATGGGACACTTTTTTGCTCTTAAAATACCTTGACAAGATTTTGGTGTGAATTATTTCCGTCATAATCCTAAGTATTCAAGTAAAAAACATATCTCTTCATGTTATTAGGCTCTATTTTCACACCAAGAGTTTGTTTTCATACCTGACCGTTTGGACTGCTCACTAGCGGTCTTCCTCAGAGTGGGGCTATAAACTGGGACAAGGGGGCTTTGTTACTCTCACACACCTGG